AAAGTATCTTGAAAACCGTGGATTTTGGAGGCCTTATATCTAAATCCAGGAAAATGTGTGCCCATTTGTTCTAACTGTGTTGATAGAGGTTAGATACACGAATACTCTGACAAACTTTGAGCGTATTTGGATCATAGGTAAAGATAGAGTGCTCATTTTACTAAGCTCAGCCATTCGAGAAATCATAGTAGAACAATTCTCGTTGTTGTAAAGAACCTGTTAGTCCAAAATTTTAATTTTTGTTTTTTACGAATCGATAGAAGATCCTGAGGCAGCTCCGAATATGTGCTGTTATTGCCTGCTGATCGATTGAGTCTTACACAAAAACTTGATTTTTTAATGACAGGCAGGTTTTACAGTTAATCTTTTATTAGTATTATATGAATTGATGAAAAGTTGACTTCCATTGTTTCGCTTAATGCCTACCTGGAAACACACTCTGAGTGGTTGCTCCTGAGGAGCGACCGGAAAGACCCTACTAAAATCCACAATTGTGGTTGAAATTAATTCATCTTACATTTTTTTCTTTTCAGCTTATCGAATAGAAAATGACATCATGTATTTCCTTTTCCATATATTAAAAACTTATATGTTTTTCCTTCCTTTTCTTTCCAAAAGTTGTATATGTAATTTTATCGTTTGCATTTCATTTTCAGCATTGTCATCTGAAGCTATCCTGTCCATACTATTTTTTAAAAGCCGGTTGCTGCCGAGTCAACCATACAGCCGGTTACATTTCTAAGACAAACAGGGCTACCGTTGTTTCAAATGTAGCTGAATTCGAAGAAAGATTTTATGACACGATGTGTAGGTACTGTGGGTCCAGAGGTATAGTTTCGTAAAAGGGAATTTTTAACAATTGATCGTTAAGCGTTTTAACTTTTGTCTTTGCATTGTATTCCCTAGACTAATGTCAAGAGTCGATAGAACGGCAATCAATTAAATTTTTGTACGTCTATTTGTCTGAAACACATATATATATAACTGCTGCCTGTCTGATCCTACGATTTTTTCTATTTTTTGAATTTTCATCTTTTCTGTTAAGTTTAAAAAATTTGTCAATGTTTTTGGATTATCTGAATTTAAACATTGAGTGGTGACATTCATAAGGAAAGGAGTAGACCACCCGCTTTCGGTTCGTCTCATGGACGCGTGAAACAAATGTTGATGTCCTTTTTGACACCGATACATCGTGTGACAGACATGTCGACATAGTGATTTTTGAGCCTCTGCGAACTGCGATACACGACGCTATCCATCTCAGCTCCATAAACTAGCAACACATGAAGTTCTGTCACGCTATGTCACACGTGCGTCTAGCGTGTCATACGGTGTTGACACAGGTAATGCCAATGTGATATATATTATGTCAAAAGCTAGAAAGTTCTGTGCATGAAAAATCAGGATACTTTCAGATAAAAAGATCTTTCTTTGTCGTTATTGTGTCGGACTGATATTGGTAATAGGTCCTATAATTTTGCTAAAGTCGTTATATGGCGATTGACGCAGGATGATACGCTGGAAACATATGTTACAAAACATTACATGACTATATGTCACACCACTCACATTGACACATAGCTGCCTATCGTTCGTATCTTTTTTACAGCTTTTGACTTTCGACTTCTGAAGTTTAAATAGATCCAATTTTAAGATTTCCACCATTGTTTACTTTTCGATTATAGTGCATTTTTTTTCTTTGGGATTTCCACGTTTTGTATGCATTAGAAGTTCCGAAATTGAAAGACGCATAATCATATAGTCTACAATTAAGTGAATCAGTGTCAAATAACCGTTGCTTCCGGTTGATCCGAAAAGAACAAAAAAACATCTTTTTGACTTGTAAATGTAGAATTTTTTTGTTTTTATAGATATGGCGAACAACATAGTCCAATCGAACGAGTAAGGTTTAAATCTTGTCTGCAACGCAAACTTCACCATTTCTACTATTTCTTATTGTACCTAGACGAATTTAGAGAAAGCAGACGCTATACGTCCGTTAATCAATATTATCCATAACATCAGTCGTCATAATGATGGAATAAGCAGTTTAAACTCGTGTAATGCTCTTAGCATCATCAAACAACTTGAAAATGATATCGTTGATAATGACAGTAACGAATTGACTTCCCTCACTCATTCGATTTCAGCTCTTCTTTCAATAACACCGATAGCAACAGCGACACCAACCGTACAGATGAATGATGTCGATCTGGACAAAGAGTCAAGTATACTCAGTTGGCATGATTATGACTCGAGTGATATTGAAGAGGAAGCAGAGACTGTCGACATTTCTGGCGAACGAATTTTCTCTGATATCTTAACTAAATTACAAAATCTTCAAAGTAAAATATCTGAACAGGAGAAAACTCATAAATCAGAAGACGATGAAACGAAGTCTTCCGCAAACAAAGAAGATGAATCATGCAGCGACTCTGATACCAAAGCATCGAAAAGTAATGAAACTGAATTGTCAGAAGATGACAATGAAGAACGACTGGATAAAATAGTGTTGATTGAGTGGTATCGCATTCTTGTTGAACTCGTCAATGTGATTGAAGAACATAAAAGTATTATTACAAAACAAAACTATTTTGCAGTTAGAAAACAAACAAAACCACTTTCAGTAATTATTAATGATTCAAAAACATGGCTTCCAGATGATGATACTGCTTACGCACATGAAATAGTTGACTTATATTTCAATTTCTTCCATTTACAACATATTAAAAATTATTTAGCATCGAATATTGATATAAGTGATGCTGTAAAATTGTTATATGAAAATTGCATCCTCTCAAACATTATTAGCACTCTTCAGAATGCTTTTCGTTCTGTTGCCCATGCTTCATCGTTTACAGCTAAAGACTTACAGCGACTAATTGTCCATAACGAAATTTTAGTGTTAATGATGAACTATCTAAAACACTATTATAATTCTAATATATTTCCAAAATGTTCCAAAACAACTGTGATACTTCTTGATTTCTTAACTGAATACATTGATAAGACAGAACTGGTGCCGAACTTGATCAAAGTTGCCTTTCCTGAAAATATTATGCACATGGTTCGAATCATATACGAGTATGCTGTAGATTGACTCTAATTATCTATAATGAATAAGAGAAAAATTATTGGATATCGTGAAGGGTTGGCGGACTACAAAAACACTTCGTAGGATAGACAATAACTGACATCAAATAGACGTGCCACAAACGAAGCATGATGCTTGTTCTTTGACGGCTTTATGTTTTCGGAAAAAACAACTTTCGATTTTTTGGCTATAAATAAAGTAGCTTTCCGAATTGCACCAAGAGACATCCTTGTGAGAAATCAACTTTTCTACAATGATAACTTTCGGCTGTATTCGAAAAACAATCACTTTTTCGAGGTCAAAAATGAAAAATATTTAGAGAAATAGTTGTTCCATATTTTCTAATGAAGAAAGTTTTTTTTGTAGAAAACTGGATTCTCTACAAATTAGTCTCTTGGTACGACAAGGTAGAACACTTTCGTTTTAGTAAAAAATCGAAAGTTAGTTTAGTATGGAAAATTTTCTGAAAACATATTTTAGGTCAAAGTGTTTCAAGTCAAACTGTTAGGTTGGTCGCATGCTTAGTCTTAAAAATCAAACCTTTTATAGTCTAGTCCATTTTCCATGAAAAAGTCAGCGGGGAATCCTGACAGGAATTTCTTATGAACCTGTTAGGGACTACCTGGAGAGTTTGGAATTTATCAGAAGTCCTTAAAATGCTGATAGGCTCTAAAGTGGATCACTGTACTCGTTATCAAAGTAATATCTCTTTGCTATTAAGTTTTTATCAACCGAAATTCACCTTATACAAAAAACTTTACCAGTTTTTCAAAGAGTCTACCGCCTCAGTCGTTCAGTAGGTCTCGTCTTAGTGAAGGAGTCGTTCGGATCAAATGTTAACTCACCTCAAAATGATGAGTTATCTCTGAGAGAACTGAGAGGGGAACATAAATGATATTTATCAGTTAAAAAAAATGGTCTTACAAAAAAACGAGTATTTCTTTTTCAGTCATCGTTTTCTTATATGCGTCTATGGATGCAAAGCAAAACGATGAATGGATTCTTGCACTTCCTCATAAATTTCCGAGGAAGTTCCCAATGATTCTCTGAAATTTTCAAATTATCTAAGGACTCTCTATGAATTTTGTATCTTGAAAGATTTTCGACGTGTCAGATGATGCCTATAAAGTGTTATAAATGGTATAAAATTACCATATAAATTCAAACAAATTCTCTAAATACATTTTAAGAATAATTAATCACTCTTGCTTGTAGTCTATTCAGTTGTTTATATTGGGTACACTACGATTGATAATTATCGAAAGTACTTACATTCTCACGTCTGCTACATTAGGTCCAAATTCGACTTTTTTAAAGAGTCAATTCGTCTAGGAACAGGTTCCAATTACGACTTGATAAGCTCTATCAGATGGCCAAAACCATTTCCTAATAAGTTAGCCTCATGCAGAAAATCGCTACTTTATAGAGCAACCCCGACCACACTATCTAATGAAGATTTTTCAATAACAGAACATGTTATTGATATAAGGTCTTGAGCGTTTGATAGAACTCGTTAGATTCTGCTTAGAACAAGAAGGATTTTATTGAAACATGTTTCCAGAAAAATTGATCCTAAAAAATGTTGACTCTATACCTAAAATAACATGTATTACATTTTTTGATTATGTAGCCATCGTGGCCGAGATAACAAAGAATGGAAGGTAATTAATTAGTTACATAACACAGATACAAACCTTACCTTTATCTATTTTGCTAAACTATTTAGATTCTCGAGTACAAATGTAAAGCTTTCAGACCGTTACTTACAATTCTGTACAATATCAGTCGTCATGAAGATGGAATACAGGCATTAAATGCTCTTCATCTTGTGTCATTATTGAAAGAAATTCAAACTACAGTCAAAGAAAGTGATTCTTATTATCAAGAAATAGTTGAAATTTTGTGCATGACATTGGCTTTACTATCAACGACGGAACAAATTAAAAATGATCGTAAACAGATGAATATAGTTTTGGATCGTATCTTAGAAAGTCTGGTTTTGGCTGCCGGGGAAGAAGATTATCGATGTGGATTTCATGTGAGTGAATCATTAGTTGTTTTGGTAAAATTATTCAGTTATGATCGTACACTTGATTATATAATGCAACATGCAGAAGTTGAACAACTAGAAAAAACAACAACATTAGAATTTCTACTTGATTTTTTCTCTAAATATTATGCTACAGTCAAAAATGATGATCCACTCAAATTAACAACAATGACAGCATTATGCAATATTTTTTGGTGTGTTTCACTTCGACCTCAGTACAAACAGGAATTGTATGGCGATAAAGAAAAATTTAAAGAATTTAAGAAGATAATCGAACAGATTGCTTGCGGAGGAGGCAACAGAAGCATTGGAACAACATCTATACACTACGTCCCCACATACATTGAAAATATACAAAAAGCAGCCGACGGGATATTGTGTAATATTGTTGAACAACAAGAACAACAGCAACAATCCGAAACTCAAAAATCAGAGCGACGTGGAGTAAAAAGACTTCGAGCTCTAGCGCTCTCTCTTAGATCACCATCATCAACGAGTAGCCCAAATACTATCAAACCTCTGAAACCGTCAATTATGATCAGTTACTCACACGGAGATAATGATGTCTGCACACAACTTTACAATGAGTTGAATAAGAGAAACGATGAATTTGATATTTGGATTGATCGTAAATATTGTAAAACTGGTTATTTATGGGGTAAAATAGCTGATGGTATGCAAGAAGCGAGTGTCATACTGTGTCTTCTATCCAATAAGTATTATGAAAGCAAATCATGTCAACAAGAATTTGTCTATGCAAATGATCATTTGAAGAAACAGGTTATACCAGTATTTATCCAACAGGATAAACCACCAGGCTGGGTCGGTAAGTGCGTTTTCATCATGATTGAACTTCAAAATGTCTGCAGTGTTCATTATTTTTTTCTGTTTAGGTATTCATACATGTTTGCTAAAATATATTCGATTTCGTCAGACTCAACTATTGGAAGAAGAAAAGTTGAAAGATTTAATGGAAATGATCGACGAGTATTTAGCATTGAACAATGGAAAGAACGATGTTGATTCGTCGATTTCAGCTATGACAAGGCCTGCTCCTGTACATCATGAAACCATGATAACTGCAAAAACAACAACGACAACGCCAGTTACAGAAAATAAAGAATTTGAAATCAAACAACAAGTTGTCTACTCAACGTATGTAAATTTAGTTATTTGTAAAAGAATGTTAAACTTTTCTCTTGTAAGAATTAATGGGTACACTATTTAATCAGAATGTTCTAGGAATATGTGAAATATTGTATGTCTTTGTAACTCGTTCTCTTGTTGTATCTACCTCATCGTTACGGGTTTGATCTATTTAACCTTTCTTCTTTTATTTCGATGAAACATGCTTGCGACATCATGCATTGAATTCTCTCTGGTACACCCATCTAATAACTACTATAGCTACATGACGAACCAAATAGACGAGAAAGAACACGTATATATATCATTGCAGCATGAAGGATTTTGATGAAAAGACGGACACAGAAGAAGAGATAATAATATGCGATCGAAGAAAGAAAGAGATCATATCCAAGAAACACAGAAAGGAGAACACATATTTTAAAACTGGAGCCTGTAACACCTATGTAGAAAAAAACATTAGGTAATCGTTAATTATAATCGATTTTTTTTCAAGGTAAAGTAATCGATTAATGATGTGGAAATGCAACAATGTTAATCGATTTTTAATGATCGAAATTGAAAATATTCAATTATTCACATGTAATTCATTAAAATCTTAGGAACATAAATTATGTTCAATGCTAGCATTACATATTTTCAGTTTTTAGACCAGAAAAAACATTAGTAACAACTAATGCTAGCACTACATGAACATTGTTTTGTCACTAGAATGACATTGATTTTTCACTTAAGTTTTTTTCACGTACTGTTTCCCTCTACGTTCCGCTCACAAGATTCGAACTTTACCGATTTCACCTTCGTCCCTGTCAGTGAACATACCATTAGTTGAAAGCTGCGTATTTATACTATTAAAGTATTTTTTCGGATGTGGGTATGGGTGTAGATGTCTGGCTCTTGTCGTGATCCACATCCACATCCACACTCGACACCCTAACTCCAATTGCTAAATAAAATACACTGTTCTATAAAGTTTTAAAGGAAGTCTTTGAGTGAAAGCGAAAACAGCATGACCTAGTCTTTTATGAGAAAGAAAAGTTGAAAGTATTGAAAAAGCTATCAATTTTGCCTCGTCCGTTAGGTTATCGACTTCTCAACATTCTCCAAAGCTGTCATATAAACGAGAACTAATGTGGTCATTTTTTATTTGGAATCTATCGATTATTAAATGATTTAAATGAAACAACGCCCCGTTTCCAATTTAAGAACTGAAAATATGGTAAAGAAGCTATGCGATCGTGTTAGATGGATACGATGAAAATTCTAGAAAATACTTTATATCATAAAGAATCGCTTATTCTTGTCTAAATAACCGATGCGCGCACTTTTTAAGGTTAACTGGAACAGCATTATCAATTAGATCGTATATGTATATCGCACGTGCGTGAAGATAGCTAATGGATACAGAAAGATCTAATTGCCAATTTTATTCTGAATAAATTAGAAAAAACTTGAAGTCTTGTTCATATAACTGAGATAGATATGAGTGAAGAGATAGACTGTACTATTATCCGATCCAAAATAAAAGGCAGGTTACCATTTTCGGAATAACTTTTGATAGGAATGAGATAGAGAGGTACCGTTTTCACTATTCGAAAGAACGATGGCCGGGCCATCGATCGATATAGAACTCATTAAGACGAAAGATGCTTTTTTTATAGATACCTTTTGATCAACACTTTCTCCTTTGGGTATTTTTATTAATTTTCACAATAATCTCCACTCAAATTATGTCAAAATGTAGTTCAAATCAACCTTTTTTCGATATAGAATTAACATTTATTTTTTTAAATCCACTTAGAATAAGAGGTTGAGAGATAATGAAATATGTGATAATTTTATAGCGAAAAAATGATGATTTGAGCTACATTTTGACATAATTTGAGTTGAGATTATTGTGAAAATTAATGGAAATACCCAAAGGAGAAAGTGTTGATCCAAAGGTACATATAAAAAAAACCTTTTTCGTCTTAATGAGTTCTATACTGATCGATGAACCGCATATCGCTCTTTCGAATAGTGAAAATCACACCTCTCTATCTCGTTCCTATCAAAACTAATTTAAAAAATAATAATCTGCCTTTTATTTTGAATTGAATAATAGTAAATTACACACATAATTTATTCGAAAGAAAAATTCTCAAGCGTCCAAATTGCTCAAAATGAGAGGATCGGTTTTTTTATTCCTATTGTTTTATTGATAGTGTAAAATTGTGTGAGTTGTGTTATACGAGGACACGCAAGGGACAAACCGCATGGGTGGTACCCTTAGCACCTTAACACTCATCCAGCATCTATTAGGGATGCACCATTCCTAGTCCAACCGGGTATCCAACTCTACTGGATATCCAGTTAACACTCCGAGAATTGATTTGATAATCAGTATTTTGATTTTTGATCAAAGGTTTTCGGGGTCAAGGAATTTGAATCTGAAATCAAACTTTCAAAATTTTGAGTGTGATTTTTTCCACTAAAAAAAAGTTTTTTTATGAACAAGTGATAGTTTTTGCAAAAAAGTCAAACTCAAAATTTTGAAATCTTGATTTCAGATTCGAATTTCTTGGCCCCGAAAACCTTTGGTCAAAAGCAAAATACTGGTTATCGAATCAATTCTACGTCAGTTAACTAGATATCCAGTAGAGATGGATACTCAATTGGACTGGAACTGGTACATCCTTAATAGGTGCTGATAGGATGCTGAGATACTGGATGGGTGCTAAGGTGCTGAAAGGTACGCAGCGTATTACCCGTGCGATCTTCCTCTTGGCATCTCAGCACCCTTTCAGCACCTTACCAGCATCTGAGCGTCTTTCAATAATTTTGGGTGCTGAGGTGCTGTAGATTTCCTCTTGAGGAGACAACTAATATGTTAACATTAGGTCATCTCTGAGTTAAATGAATCGCATCTACGTTTTCTTATTCCTTTTTGATCAGTATTCTGTGTTTGTAGACAGAGACTATCATTGATAAATAGGAATAATCCAATCAGATGATAATTTAATTTAGATACAGAGAAAACAGAACACTAACACAATAGAAAGGAAAAATAATGTTCCAATGAATACATGGGTATAAACAGATCTATATCCTGATTGAATATATGAAGAAGATGATAAAAATACAATTATCTCTAGATTAAAATTTAGTTTGAATAAAAACTATGAATGTTGTGCTTCATTCACAGAAAAAAAATGTAAAAGAATAAAATTCCGGTTCTCCATTCATTAATTGGATATATCTTGCTCCTAAATCATCATTATGAAGAAATTGTCAAATGAACTTTGAGGATAGCTTAATGAAAAAAAAATCTTCAGTAGGTTAAAATGTTAATCTAACAGCTGATAACACATTTGTCTATATAAAATTATAAGTGAGCATAGAAATGTATATCAATAGGTCATTTTACATGGATGCGCACTCAGTAGTTAACATATACAAGCACAGCCGCTCTTGTATATTACTGGTCTCTTTTGAGATAATATAAGTTTTCAAGGAAAAATTAGAGTGATGAAAAAAAAATTAAACATATTCAATCAAATATTCGATACGTTTTCATATATATCGAAAAGTCGACAAAGTCCGTTCATCTTTGCTTTTCCTCTTACGTTGTCAAGTATGTCTTTGAAGATCTATATTTTGCTATATTATATATCAGCATAGATATTTCTGAAAATATGGACAAGTAAGCAGAATGTGAACGACTGTTATAACAACACATAGTTTTTCTAATTAAAATAGAAAGCAGAATATAAGAGAACACTATATCTTAGTCATTGCTGATTATATCAATTAACATTATACAGTGTGTCCCAAAAGCCACACTGTAAAGTTGCGTTATACTATCTCGAAAAGTAATACCATAGTAAGAAGTAATTGTCTAAGTAATCAACTAAGAAATATTTTTTAGAATGATCAATAGTACTATAAACTCTTCCAGTGAAAGACTTAGGAAAATAGTCAAATATACCAACAGGTTGTCATAGATATGCTCAAGTATTTCTTATTATCAGCAATATTAATATAAAACAATTGAGAATACTTCGTTTAGAAAATCTCAGCGAAGAAAAGAGTTTTGTATAAGTATTTATAGTTGTCAGCTTAATGTATCATCGATCAAACATACTGTTTCGTCACAAAAATGTTAACAAGTAAAAATTATCAGTGTCTATTCTGATTTGTCTGGCTTTTGATACTTAATAAACGAATACCAAGATTAGAAGAATAATGACCATGACTTGATTCGGATAAAAGCAATAACATTTAGCATTACCCATTATGATGTATTTCGTATAAGAGAATCATAATTTTACCTTCAAATTCCAACTATTCAACTTCATTCAAATTAGAAGTCTAATTTTATGTATATGATTTCAGAATGTGATCGAAATTCTGATCTTACTCTAATAGATAGCATACTTGCTTCTTAATCATCTACACTATAACTTCGATAACGTGCCTTAAAATCACTTTCATGCTTCACGAATTAGAAAAAACACTGTTAGATCGGTTATTTATGACATGCTGCGCATATGATAGACAAAAATGCAATTCATTGTCTTTAGAAAAAGAGGATTGTATTTTCAACTACAAACATTCGATCTTCAAACAAAAGCTTTTAAATGCAGTGAATGTTATGAACATGACGACTTTTTCCGGTTTGAGAATTGTCAATTCATCGTTAAAAATCATGAAAACTAATTGTTTCTGGTTCCTTCTAAGTTTGACTTCATCAGGATCGAAAGTTCCATAGATGTTTAATGTGAATTTCGAACTGTATTCTTGACTGATGTATGAAATATGAACGCTCGGTAAGCAAAGACTATAGTAAATCATATAGTTTTTAGAAACTATAAACATATTTAAATCAGCTCACAACTCCGAAAAAAATAAACACCGTGATCATAAAATGGTCAAAATGGTTCATGAACGAATTCATATGCATTTTAATGGTCGTTTCTCCATTATTCACTTAACCGGGAAATTCTCGTCGCTTGTTCTCAATGGACTAAGCACTAGAAAATATCTAAATCATGACTCGAGTGGAGAAAATTGTTTCTAACAAGAAGTAGAAGACAAAAATATAACTTTATTTAGACAACATAAAACGATAAAGCAAACAACTCTGTACAAAATGAAACGTGCTCGAGTTCTCTACCATGTTTTTGGCTGAGATACAGCAATTTGATTGAAGACCCCAAATTAGTTTTTCAACGATGAATAATAAAAAACATACTTTACTAGTTTCTGTCATACTGTTCTATCTGAATCAGAAAATACTGTCGAAAACTCTCTCATGTCTTATTTTGTAAAGAATTGTTTGCCCTATCTTTATAAATAGCCTAAACAAAATTATATTTACGCCTTCTAGATGCTGAAAAACTTAGATTTTGGTTATCTGGAGATCTTATCTTTGAGAATTTGATAATAACTATTAGTCGGGTAAATTCTTGTTAGAAAGAATTTTCTTCATTCGAATCACTATATGGATTAATTCTAGCACTTAAGTCAGTGGCAAAAAATAGAAAACAAACTTTGTTGAATAATTTTGGTACTCACTATATGATTTGGAGTATGCCAGAGTTCACTTCAATTTTATTGTTTCTAGAAAACCTGCCATCAATCTCGATGAAAAACCCATATCACAATGGAACAAGGATGGTGTTGCTCAATGGTTTCAACAGAATAAAATTATGCTTGAACTGTATAAATTATATCAATTTGAAGATGGACTTGAACTACTAACTTACGCAGCAACTATTTTAGACGATAATGTATTGAAATCAGAACAGCAACTCTATTCCCAAGCGTATTCACAAGCAAATAATGGTAAAGTATTGTTAACACCACCATTTTCACGATTCATGAACGCTTTACGAAAATTGCACAACGATGCTGAATTGAAAACGCAAAAATCAACAATAGTAGTAGAACCAATTATAATGAATGGTAGTAGTAGTGGTTGTGGTAAGCCTACAGCGAGAAATATTTCTCGTATACCGAGAAGAAGTTCAATAACGACGCCACAAGACTAATAGAATGTCTTAATCACAAGCTAATTCTAGAATTACAAAAGTACATATTCTTTTGACTAGTGTGACCCTTTCAAATTTGTATTATGAAGCTCGAACAGTTTTTGAATCTTGTACCACCTTGCGTTTAGTTTTTATCGAATTATAAAAAAGTTGGGTGTGGGTGTGAGTGAAGTGGATGTGGGTGTCGGTGTCGGTTTGTGGATGTGGGTGTGGGGTGCGGGTGTAAGGATGTCGTTGGGTGTGTGTGGATGAGGATAACTACACTCACATCTACACCTCCTGCACTTAATCAACTATCCTATCCTGATGCACTGTTTGTTGAAAACACTCAAACAATTTATATAGCTGATGGTGCTAATCATCGTGTAGTGAAACGGATTATTGACACTTTCAATGGTCAGATAGTTGCAGGTGGAAATGGCGAGCAGTATAATGATAACCAATTCAATGAGTCAATTGATGTTATTGTCGATAAGGATGCAGTAATGTATATTGCTGAGAGTGGTAATATGCGCATTCAGCGATAGTTACGAGATGCTCAAAGCGGACAGACAATGATTCAAAATGTTGCTAGTGCTGGTATAGTACAAGATAATCAAGGATCACTTTCTGTGTCGAATTATCTAAGAGGCGAAGTGAGAAAATGATATGGTGACACAGTCGACGGAGAACTAATTAGTTCAGAACTTGTATTTCAGAAGAAGCTATTTGTTCATCGAAATCGAACTCTTTATGTAGCTGAGACGAATAATTATCGAATAATAAAAGTAGATGATGGTATAATACAATTCACAATTATTACTGATGAAATATCTGGTGATAAAGAAGATCATTTGTCATTTCTAAATAGTGTTATCGTCGAGGGTGTGGGTGTGGGTGTGAGTGTGTGGGTGTTGATGAAAAGGAGACCCACACCCATACCGCTGCTCAAATTTTGAATTGTTATTTTTTTAAAAGCTTTTTGTTCGACGACCTCAATACCAGTAAATATATCGTTTACCATCAAATGGATCAACACCAATAGTAACACCATAAGGACCAGTAAAATCATCTTCTATTGGAAATGAAAATAATAATTATTCTTTATTACCATCAGCATCGGCCATATAGAGACCACCATTACATGCCAAATGGGTACAAGGATTTGTAAAATTCACATGACTATCAAGTATAATTTAAAAACCAGGATTACTATCAGTTAAATTCAAGTATTTAGTTATATTTTGTAATTCTGTACAATCTGGACAACTACGCATCAATTGTACTCCGAGAAATAAATCCAATTATTTGTTTTATCCTATACTAAACCACGAGTACCAGCTGAACCACCAACATTGTCAAGTAAAATAGTCTGTTTCGTAGTAACGAGATAAGCCTGATAGATATGTTCATTTGCATCTGTATATAACATCAAATAGCTAGTAGGAAGTATAACGACGTAATGACAGTCGTGAAGTCCCGTAGCACTTATAGAGAAAGAATGACCATATGAGGACGCGACACTACTTTTACTCATCATACCAATATAAAGACTTTCAATATATATATGGAGACAGTGAGCAACACCTAATTCATCAGTAATATTTCTCCATTCCCACGACATCAATGATGACGAATTCACAAATCTTCCTTGAGCAATATTACCGTAGTTAGTAGATGATAGCGACACCAACAAACTTTGATATGGTACATCTTATGAGAAGCGATGTGATATTGATAATAAGAATAATACTAATAACAAAGAGCTTATTAATGCAGTTATCCTTGTGCACATAATTAGTCTTGATTATCTATACAAACGTATGTGACATGTACATTGCAATATCTCATAGAAAGAAAACTCTGGGAAAGGATTATCTTAAAAGTCAAACTTGAGGAAGTACGCATGCTTTTTGTGACAGGAAATCAGTCATATCAGTTTCGTCAAGGTCTGTTTGTGTTTTGTGATCAAAGAAAAAAACAGTCGATAAAAGAACAAATTTATTCTCCTTTATTGTGTGTTTGCATCTACTCACCAAGCATGTGTTTCCATTCACATAACGCAGCATTACAGCAGCGTCACAGATGAGACCTTTTTTTCTTCAACAGTATGGATATTGACGAAGCAGGAATAAACTGCTCCCATTAACAATCAAAAATGATCCGGTATTATATTGCACTTTGTCAGAAATATAGACATCATATCAGATTTGAAGTTTTTGAAACGTTGGAAAAATATAAGAATTTGAAATAAATCAAGCGAAAATGCACTACAAATTTCATTGAAGTTGACATCTAAAGATATCGATATTCTAGATTTTATATCTTACATTTACTCTATATTTTTCAATTGGTATCTTAGTCTTATTTCACTGTAGAGATTCGAATCTTTGCCTTATGCCAGAATAGAGTAGAATCGAGTACATATACAAGACTCGATCTCCAAGATTGAATGAAGTATTATTTAGATCAATTGTTGACGATGAAACTTTGTCGCTATATTTTTGTTCAAATGCCCAATGAACAATGACCGCTATTGGCTGTTTTGTCACATCCATCAATTTTTCGCGTATATTAATGCTGTTGGATTTTTTCTTTTCATCAAAGAAAAACTCATTCGACCGGGTGTCGCAACAATAAAAACAGAACATCTGAACCTCTTTCGCTTAAATGAATGAATAATCAATATAAACTATTCTTATTTTTCAACGAAAGTTTGTCATTGCATTTCACATTCACTGACTTTGAAAGTAAACAATTCAAACAACAACACCTGACGTTTTTTCAAGTAAAAAGAATTTTGCTGCATTCTTTCATCATACGGTCTTTTTTGAAAATAAGTGCGAACAGAAAATGGTATCATGTATACACAACGAAAGGTAACAGTTGATTATTTACGATCACTTCTGCTTTGTTGCTCAATCCAAAGAACAATGAGACTCTGTATTTGTGTCCTTCTTGAAAAATTTTTAGCTGTAAGCCTTTACCAAAGAATTGATTTATTTTCGGTTCTGATCAATCACTGTTTGTTTATTTAATTCTTCATGAAAGCAACTCTTTCGCAAGTTGAGATGATTCAAATCTCTACTTTACGTTTGAAAATTTGTATTCCATCAACAATTTTCTTTGATCTCTTGCAATTTCAAATCCGATATTGGTGTCCTGTGTAATCAACTCTCTTTCAAAATGAAAGAATTTTTGAAGAAAATCATAGGTTCAAATTTCAAAAATCAATTCCTGTTTTTGATTTTAACAGGGCATTTCTTGTCTGAAATCGTAATGCTATTGCACTTTGACGTTATCTATAGACGCTCCAAGCAAGACTGGTTGTTATCGTTAAAATGTATGTCATAATGGTGATGATAGCATGCGCGCAGAATGAGCGAAGTTCGTTGGTCGAGTTGTGCATGCACCTTTTTTTTTAATCATCTCTTCATTTTCTATCTTATTTCTCTTCAAGGCGAAGATGTCACATATCAACAGAGCTAAGAAACATATGCACAACTCCATCGACGATACCTAAAATGAACTGTAAATTTTTTGTGTTCATTTTACATGTGCATGTAGTCTTCTCTCTCTCTTGAAGCATCTTCCTTCTCTTGAATTATATTATTTTCTTCGAACATTATTATACTTTATCCTATTTCTTTTCTTTTTCTTGCTTCTATTCCTAGATAGAGATAAGAATGAGTGGTGAATGCAAGAGGTTCGCAGGACAAGCATGCATCGTCACTGGTGAGTAAGAGATTGTCTAAAAATTTTGAAAAGTGATATAACAATTCTATAGGAGGAGCGAGTGGCATCGGCTTAGCTACAGTAACGGAATTTGCTCGAGAAGGAGCTTCTGTGGCCATTTTTGATTTGAACGAGATCGCTGGATGTGAACAAGTGAATAGATTGAAGAGCGATGGATTTTCTGTTCAATTCTTTCATGTCGATGTTACTTCACCAGAGCAAATTCAGAAAGCAGTTACTGCCTTCGGAGAAGCGAATCAAGGGCAAATTCATCATCTTATCAATGGAGGTTAGTTTAATCTTTCAATGAACACAACAGATAATTTTAAAATGTTCGTTATTTAGCGGTCTACTTTGGCTCAAAAGGGTTACAAGCAACTCCGAAAGATTTTCAAAAGACATTCGAAACAAATGTCAGCGCTTATGCCTTCATGGCACAAGCTGTTTATCCGTACATGTTGAAAGCTCGGCAAGCTGGGAAAAGTTTGATGTCAATTCTAGTCGAACTCTTGACAGTGCTCTCTTGTTTTCTAGATTGTTCCGTCGTCAACATCGCTTCAATTTCTGCTCATCGTGCCCAACCAGTTCGCTGGACCTATGCCAGTTCGAAAGGAGCTATTGTTATGCTTACGAAATCGATGGTAGGTTTAGACTTTTTTCAATTGATTAAAATTTCTTTTTAGGCTCTCGATCTGAGTAAAGACGGCATTCGTGTTAATTCCGTTTCGCCTGGTTGGACATGGTCTCCAGAGGTTGGATAAAAGTCTCTACTGTCTTGGTTTTCTCGTCATTCATTTCTCTTCAGGTTGAAAAAGCAGCAGTAAATGGTGGTCGAGAGAAATGGGATCCAATCTGGGGCCAGTTCCATATGCTGCGTCGATGTGCTGACTGTCGTGAAGTAGCACGACCAATTCTCTTTCTATGTTCTACAGATGCTTCGTTCATTTGAGCTACCGACTTAGCTGTCGATGGGGGTTATACACAAATGAGTCATGAGGGATTTGGAGAACAGTCGTCATTTGCTGGATCCGACTATTGATCAACTTGACTTTTTAGCTACTCAACATACTATTATTTATTGGGTTTGAGAGAAATCAAGCTGACTTTTTTCATTAGTTCGCCTTTTTAATCACCATTTGCCTGATTCTTTTTCTTTCTAACGTTGGAATTTCCTATCGATTCTTTTCTTTTGTCTTGGAGTTTAGAACTTGCGAAACATTGATTGATTTAGATGTAAGATACACGGAACCAATTGATATTTGAACCAAAGCCAAATTGTTGCCGTTTATACTGTTGATATTTTTTCCATTATTGATGTTTGCATTTTCTACGTCATCTAATTTCCAGCATCGTAAAGTTGATATTTAGTAAAGGTACTTATATTTTGTTCATTTTTATGAAGATGAACTTTACAATATCTATTTGTAACACTATCAGGCAAATGATGCTGTTAATGTCCAAAATATAAAATTTGTACTACACAGCCTAACTGACTTCCAGATTTTTTCATCGAACGTAATAGATTAGACAGAAAGTCCGGTCTATTGCGCCTTGCAGGCACAACATTGCTCTGTGAAGAGTGATAGACCATGATGTCTGACAATTCGGCTTGTTAGAATAGTGATTGAAGAAATTTTGGTATGTGCGACTATCTTAAGCGAACTTTTTTTCTCATGCGTTTGCACATACGCATATCTCAAGATGTATCTATATCACATGACTTTCTTGTCAAGATGGTCAAACAGTTCATGTGCATGAGAAAAAAAGTTCGTCTAGGGTAAGTTAAACAATGTAGACATTTCATTATATCAGTGAATGATTTTATATTGACATAGTCTGAACTACTTCATAGACGGAGCAGCCTGAATCTGCAAATGAAGTTGCTTTTTTACGACGAAGCGAGAACAAATTAAAGCATCTAAATTGGTAAGATGTCACTTTCTAGGTAGACTAGAGGTGACAGAAAGTTTCAGCGGCACGTCTTAATTCAAAGTATATTCCAAATAAGATCTCTGGATTTTTCTCTGAACTGTCTATCGCTCTACTTGCATTAGTACTATCGGAGTAGAAACCTTTTTGCGATTTATTTGTTCAATTATTATATTCTTGTAGCTGTAAGTTGGAAAAAAATACTTTTTTTCTATTTATTATTTCATAAATGTATTGGACTTGTTTTTTTCTTTCTGTTTGTATTCTATTCTACTGATCGTTCGATTTTTTTAATGGTGTTATTATTTATATTTCATGTCTTTCACACGAATTTCACGGTCATTGTGCAAGAGCAGTTAAATAAGAAAATGTGTGTTACAATTCTTTTCTGTCCTTGCGCGTTTTCAAATGTGACTTACGTGTTCGTTGCACTTAGTGTAATACCATCCCAGTTATCTCTAATTAATAAAGAACTTAATGCACAGCATCGATTCGAAAATAAATGGAAAACCATAGGACCCTTTTCTGTTAACCACCGAAAAAGAAAAGTTAAAGTTTTAGTTATGTATAATTTATAATTCGAATTATGTAGACATAGTCCTGTAAGTTTAGGAAAAAAAAGAAAAGAAAAGCCTTTGTTCTAAATTATGATATAGAATTCTGATGACTGCTTCGCTCTTGTGAATTTAGGGAAAGAGCGATTTCTTCCCAAATTATAATTTGTAATTCAGATTAAATACCTCATGCCTGTAGATTTCCTTTATGTTACAATTGAAACAGCCCATGGATCAGTAACCACTTGAACATCATGATTGCATCGAAATGTTTTCAATACATTTGAAAAAAATTCATCTTGACTAATAATTGTTCTTTTTCTGAGCATATGACGCGGTGAAAACAAATTTATCCGTATTCGAAGGATGTTTTCCATGAAATTTCTCATTATAACGAACAAACAAGTCAAAGAATGTTGCTCCATCAACGGTAAGAGGTTCAGCAATTGTAAGGAGTTGTTGATAGTCTCGCACTGTTATTATGATGGCAGTATGTTTCTCTTCAACGTCATATTGGGATAGAAAAAGCAATAAAACCTATCAATCAAAAGATATATACATAGTAAAGCAATAAGTATACGATGAAAAAGGTATAATTAAAAAATGATGTATGCAGCACATGTGTAATACTCGCGAGAGAGACGAAGGACAGACCCACTTTTTGTTTGTCTATACTTGTGCTGATTCATCTGACGTATTCTCGAAGCCAGTCATTTTTCTCATTGACTGTTGATTTTATTCTTCAGTGAGGTAAATATTGTCATTAATTTTCTAATGTGAACCAGCTAAAATGAAAATTAGGGTGTGGGTGTTGGTGACTGAAGAAGAATAGTCCATACCCACACCCTAGGGGTGGGAAGTTACCGTTACCGTTCCCGGGTAACGGTAACGGGGCAGTTACCAGTTACCCGGGTAACTGGTAACGGGACAGTTACCAGTTACTTTTCAGAGTAACTTCTTTAAAACGACGAATTATGACTTCTTATGATCGAATTTTGTGAAAAAATTAATTTTTGAATTTCGGAGTTACCCGGGTAACTGGTAACGGGAAACCAGTTACCAGTTACCGGGTAACTCCGGAATTCAAAAATTAATCTATCGACGAAATTCGATCATAGCAAGTCATAATTCGTCGTTTTAAAGAAGTTACCCGGAAAAAGTAACTGGTAACGGGGCAGTTACCAGTTACCCGGGAACTGGTAACTTTTTCCGTAGCAACCGTTACCGTTACCGTTCCCGGGTAACGGTCTGGGAACGGTAACTTCCCACCCCTACTTCAAACAGCAATACCCAATGCTTTTGTTGTCAAAGCATTCAATACAATCTCATCATTTGCCATGCAAAGTACAACAGCAGGAGAATCATCTAATGTCTTTGTTGCGAGTGATCATTCAATAGCTAAAGATAAAGTAATCACACTTGCACGTGAAATGAATTTTGATGCATTCAATGCCGGTTCAATTCGTGTAGCACGTCATCTAGAAACTGATATCAAATCTCTCTTTCCTCAATGGCGAATTCCTATCATTGTTACATTTGTCGTTCTAATCGTCTGGCTTGCTTACACACTTTACATGAATTATATTCGTATACGTACAACTTCATGGAATCAACTATTTTTACACATGGTCAATGAAATATGATGTCCAAGTGCTATCACCATGCTAGCTAGGGTGTGGGTGTGGGTGCGCGTTTGAGTAATGATTCTCACTACACCCACACCCCTAATGGTGACGCCCCTCCATGGATTATTTCAAAATTTCTCCAAGTCTGTTTGCAAAAACTCATTGCAATGGTGTATTATTTATTTTAGCCAAACTTAAGCTCTGACCTTGCCAAGTTTTAAGTTAGCTACGTTGGCTTCTTAATAAACCTACTCTGGTTTTGAAATCTCAAATGAATCGCTAGGACATGCTATAGAATATACAAACTAGTTGAAAAATAACTATACCTAGCAGCTCTGGTCACATATCAAAAAGTCAAATTCGTGTAATTTTATTTCGAATAATCAAATCATACAAATTGTGATAGCAGGTAAATTTTAGCTCAAAATATACGCACAAAACTCCCTTGCAGTCATCATTCTGTAAGTTGATCTTCACGTTCATAACTACCAATAAATATTATCCTTTGAAAAGCGTAAATAGATAATGTGTTTATCGTTCGTAGCATCATATTCACACTTTTTAATCACAAATACCGGCAATCCAAATCCCCATATTAAAAATTCTTCTTCTTCTGTAAAATTTGAAAGATGAGCAATTGAAGCTCCGCAGTAAGCTGTACGGCTACGGAGCATTTTCTAAACGGAATAAAGAAGAAATTCGTTTCTCTACAGCTTTTCAGCTGACCAAAAAAAAATTATACCTCTGGAGTGCTACCTGGATCATCTGGTTGGTATTCCCGTAAATCTATAATCATAAGAGTATTTCCATAAATCTCTGCTAGAGCTCGATTTTTGCTTGTCGATACAAACGAATAAAACTGAATTTCACGGCCTGATGTATATTCTGCTCTTTCAGCATCACTGAGATTTACTCCACGATAAACTATCTTTGTTGTGTTATCTGCAAGTTCCTTCAAAGCTTTATGCAAAAGATAACAAAATGGACCAAGAGTTTTCACATGTTCTTCGGTAAATTCTCTGGAAGTGCGAAGAACTTTATTTATTAACTTGAACCAAAAGCTATCTCGCGTATAGAGAAAAATACAAGTTTCACCAATCACTTCAGGCAGAGCCAAACTTTCTCGTTTAGGTGCTGTCCCATGATGTTTTACTGCTAATAATTGCTGAGCTAACCATTCTGCTTCGCGTTGTTTTCCTAAGGCAGTACCTTCGGTGATAATTCCCGTTGACGCATCTTCGACGACTGCCGAAAATGTTTTGTCACCACAGCCTTTCTGATTAATATATCGATTATGAATTTCCTACCGAACTAGCGGATCAAGGCCAAATTCTTCGTCAGACGATTCCCAAAGTATCGAAAGTGACGTGGAAAATCGTTCGGTGCGCAGTGAAGCATTTGCTTGACTTTTGATCAAGGCAAAACGTTTGATAAAATGTACATTAGACTTGTCCGATTTTGTGTAATCTAGCATATAACCTAAGTCAACTAAACGATCACCGTCAATTTCAACTTCTGTTTTTCCGTCCATGAAAGCGTCTTCGATGATTTCATTTTCAATATCACTGTATTTTTCCCATGACTCTGGGTCACAGTTTGGTAAGTTATCAGATAAATTCCAGCACCATTGAAAATTTCTCGGCCTACGAAGAATTGGTGTTTTCGACCCATAATTTAATGCTGTAGCCATAATTATGAAAAAATATCGAAAGATCGATCGAAAGGATTCAGAATGAATATGCCTTATTGTAGAATTATTTTATGCACGAGCGTTTACGTTAGGTTATTTTCCACCTTATCAAAATTATTCTGACACGCTTTCACTTCCTGCTTTTTTTGTGAAACACGATCTAAAAGGAGTGTTGAAGTGTATATGGTAGAAATTTTGACCCACTTCCCGCTCCCCCCCCCCCCACACACAGACCGTGACAGAGGGGCTCCAAAGACCATCACAGACCGTGGCAGAGAAATCCAATACCCGTCACAGACCGTGACAGAGAAATCGAGTACCCATCACAGACCGTGACAGAGACAATCCACACCCATGCCTACCCATGCATAGACCTCACAGCCACAGCCGCAACAACACGCACACACCCATACCCATCCCTGGGCTAGGTGGGGTCGGATCATAAAAAGTGGCCCGATTTCGAGGTCTAGTACGAAGCTCTAGAAATTTCGTATGGAACCTGTTTTTTTAATCTAGACAGTATTTCGGAGTGTATAATCATACTGCGGTTGATTACGCTACGTAGCAATGTCGAAGAAATTTGCTTACATCAAAGCGTCGCACACAGCATCACACTGCTTGTTGATTCAGCGTTACTTCACCTGTGTATTGACGTTGCGTTGTTATTTTGGAAGTTGAGAAAAAACCCACTGATAATAGCCAACAAAGTGCGTCGTTCTTCATTTTCTTATCAAATATTTACTATGCAAGTGAAGGCCAATATTCAAGTGTGTTGTGTGCAAAGACTTGAACTTTCCGCGAAAAAGAACAAAAGCATATGCATGAATCTGCTTTCTTCTTTCTCTCTGTGAATGACTCATGCGACACAAAGGACATACTGTATCATGACCAAAGAATAAGACAAGGATTCTTTGTGTTCTATCGAGCCTTTTCGAACACAAAATATTCATTGTAGACTTCTTGACTGAGGGTGTGGGTGTGGGTGTGGGTGGGTGTGTGGGTGGGTGGGTGTGGGTGTGTGGGTGTGTGGGTGTGTAGGTGTGGGTGCGGGTGTGGGTGTGGGTGTGGGTGTGGGGTGTGAGGAGTGTGGGTATGGGTGTGAGGAGTGTGGGTGTGGGTATGGGTGTGAGGAGTGTGGGTGCGGGTGTGAGGAGTGTGGATGTGGGTGTGGGTGTGAGAAGTGTGGGTGTGGATGTGGGTGTGGGTGGGTGGATGTGGCTGCAGGTGTGAGTGTGAGGTGTGGATGTGACTACGGATGGAGTGAATAAACACACCCACATCCACCCACACCCACACCCTATTTACTTACTAATTATTTATTATTACCAAAAGCAGTTATATTTATTTTATGTGATGTGAAGTGGAGCACTCGTGATTCGTTTATTTGATTCATTCTCTTCTCTTTCTTTCTTCATGCTGTGCAGCAAAGCATTCGTATAGTATGCATTCATGGAATTACGTCGGAATCATAACTTATGCGCGATCGAAATGTGCAAAACAAACGCATTCAGACGTAATTTCGATGTAGGGATGACCTTTTCCTTTACTTCCTGAAAGTAGAAAGAAAGTAAAAGTGTTTGCCTCACATAGAACGCAAGAGACAGTGATTTTACAATTCTTCTATAAATTCGTAAAGAACGCAAAAGTTGTCGATATCCATGAGATTAAGTTTTATTACATCATTCGATGCAATGACAGTGGCGAAAAGTTGTTCCTAATTATAGAATGTGCAGCAAAATGATCTAAATTAGTTGAAATTGGAAGGAATTTCAGCACTGATAACTACTATCGGTTTCAAATTATAGTGCGCGTGGTTGTTTTTTGAATAATTCCCGAATGGAAAGGGTTTGAGAGCTGCGGTTTTCACCGTTCGAAATAGCACACTCAGGGGCATCAAAGCATGTTAAAATTTTATTGGTCAGCAATTGACCAATCAGATGAATTTTTGCTTGATATTTTTGTGAACGATATTTGGACATGCTTTTTCATTGAACTTTGACTTCCAATCAGACCATTCGATAGAAAAAATAATTCTCTTTCGATCTACGTAAGGACCACCTTGCTAGCTTGTTCCGTTCAAAAGCTATAAGCATTTTTCCAAGAACCCTGATTTCGGCCATTCGACCTTGAATCACTGGAAAACAGGTCAACATAGGGGTAATCGGCCACGCTGAGTTGAGTGGTGATGTTTGTTTTCAGTTTCACAGCGATCTAAAGTCACTATATCAAGATTTTTGAAAATTCAGTTTTTTGGCATGAGGAGTGGATTTTCAAAAATCTTGATATAATGACTTTAGATCGCTGTGAAACTGAAAACAAACATCACCACTCAACTCAGCGTGGTCGATTATCCCTATGTTGACCTATTTTCCAGTGATTCAAGGTCGAATGGCCGAAATCAGGGTTCTTGGGAAAATGCTTATAGCTCTTGAACGGAACAAGCTAGCAAGGTGGTCCTTGCGTAGATCGAAAGAGAATTATTTTTTCTATCGAATAGTCTGATTGGAAGTCAAAGTTCAATGAAAAAGCATGTCCAAATATCGTTCACAAAAATATCAAGCAAAAATTCACCTGATTGGTCAATTGCTGACCAATAAAATTTTAACATGCTTTGATGCCCCTGAGTGTGCTATTTCGAACGGTGAAAACCGCAGCTCTCTAACCCTTTCCATTCTGGAATTATTCAAAAAACAACCACGCGCACTATAATTTGAAACCGATAGTAGTTACATTTGGAAAATGGTCATTTTAATAAATGTCGATTTGATACAATTTTCAAGAATTTTGATGAATAGAGTCTAAAAGGAACCAAAAAGAACTGAAAAGAGAAGCGTATATTTATACATTTTTTTGTTATCCTTCAATGATTGTAAGTGGTTTTTGTTTGTTTGCTTAGGATTTTTTTGAAATATTGTGAAATAAATTTTTTTGCGTCTGTTTTATTCTTACTATGAGTGGTGAAATATTTGTTTTATGCATCAGAATATTGACATATGAATCAAGATGATTACGTAAATATTAAAAGACGAGGGTAGGTATATATAAAAGCTATACAGAAACATCTTTCAAAACATTATTTTTACACACTAACGAGGAAAGAAGACACATTTATGGCAACGATAGTGTACAGTAATAGTGATAATGATGATGATGAAATAAATAACAATATGTCCGACGAAGAGGAATGGTCGCGAGAAACTACACGTATTACTAACCAACGTGTCCCTATGCCCCGCGATGGTAACTACTATCAGCCATACAATTTCCACAGAAGACTTGTTTGCTATGGCGACGGTGGTAGCCTGTATCTTGAATATCCAGTTTGGATACGTAATCGTCTATCAGAAGATAGCAATTATTTGGGAAATAATCCAAGAGAAGAGTTATTAGAAGTATTTTATGCATTGAATAATAAACGAAAAGATTTTCATAAATATCCATCACCAGTTGAAGATATCATTGATCCTGATCTTTTGGTGTGTAAACCTATAGAACCACCATCGCCTCCGTCGCTACCAGTTTTTGATTATAATGATCATTGTACTTACTATGAATTTAGGCAAAAACATGAATTGGAATTTGAACAATGTAACAGATGGAATCATGATCCCTCAACTTTACGTGGATCCTATCAATGGATACCAAATGAATTTCGCATTTGTCATGGTGACAATGATGATTGTGAAGTACATATTGAAACACCGATTAGTCATTTGCCAATGACTGAAGAGTATGCCAAGACATACAAAAATTTAGAGAAAATATTTGCAAAATTAGTGCCTATGTTTGGAGAAATATTACATTTCGATAAAAAGAAGGGTGATACACGGCTGCAAGTTATTGTAAAAGTGCAAAGTTACAATATTCAACCGAGTAAGTACATGAATAGTTACGAATAATTATTGATCCTAGTTTAAAGATTAAATAATTTGTTCGTTACTGAATGTCCAATGCATAAGAGAAGATAAGTTTTATTAAATAACTTTAAAATCGATTTGCAACGCTTCTAATCATCATTCGGTCTAACTGTGACAAGACTTACTCTTTGAGATCTAGACTTACTCAGAGATCCTGATATGTTTCTCAAAAACGAGCCGGTTTATTTACAGAAAGAGAAAGAAGTATTCTTGAGTATCTTACGTCAGACAAAGTTATTAATAGTGGTTAAAGACTCATCTTATGTTTTTCAGAATCTATCTTGTTTTACAATTACGAATGAGAAAACCTTTTAAGATGTTATCACGTATTTGAGATGATATGTTCTTCATTAGATTCGATATGTTGAGGCCAGTAGAACCTACTGGCAAGTCGTTACTACATACTTTTTAGTCATTTTAGTGTAGTAATCGTTTTCAAAAACATATTAATAAGGATAAATTAACTTATGATTGTTCGAAAATTTGTCTTTTTTTTCTAGGAATGAAATATTCTGGTCGTTGGCATACTGAAGGCCGTACTGAAAACATACGAGCAGTTGGTGTCTACTACTTGTTCATTGATGATGAATTAGAAGGTGGTGCGTTAAAGTTCCGTCCATCAGTAGCACCATCAGAAAGTTATGCTAACACATGGCGCATTAAAGTTAACCGTTATGTAATGCCAGAAACAGACACAGCTATCGTTTTCGATAATTCTCTACCGCATCGTTTCTGTTCAATACGCAATACAACATCCATTGCTCGTCGTCGTACTTTTCTCAACTTTTTTGTTGTATGTCCTCATTACCCAATCAAAGAAATATCAATTTCAAATTTACCATTAATTAGTTATGAACGATGTTTAACGCTGTTGAAAAGTATTGAAGACGAGAATAATCAACAGAAATTGCCAGATTTGGTTATTGAAAAAATTCTTTCATTTCTGAAACAGAATATGTGGGAGACTGATATAGATGCAAAAGAATTTCGTTCACGTGCTAGATATGAAATGCTGAACGAAAAGACTGGTTGGGGTGGTATTCAATATGGTAATACCGGTGATATTGTGTTTATCAAGTCAAATAATGACTGGAGTATTAAGAAAAGCCAAAGACTTTATTATGATATGTTCGCCTTACATCATACAGAATCCGAATGAAGAATGAAAAATGGAAGAGATGGAGATAGAAACCTATGAGCCTGTCATGGCTGCTGTTATAATACAACGTCATCTTTTCCTTTTGCTTGTTTATCCCTCCCCTCATATATTCTTTTTTGTTTTTCGTCCATGTCCCAATCTATGCATGTTAGAGGTTAAGAAACACGAGAATGCATGTTTTATGTTTTTTGGTATTTTTTATTTGGTTTTTACATTCATTCGTATTACTGTTCTAATAAGCTGATGATGATCTTGACAATCGTGCACTAGCTGATGTACCGGAACCACTGATCAGTAGATCAATTAATTAATCCAGACTTTTGTTCAATCTTTGTTGTATGCTTGCCGAAGAACTACGTCAAGCTCCAATCCGGGTAGCTATACAAGCACAAGAAATAAACACATGTCACGGAGCTCGCTCTCGCTCTGAACCTATCTCCGCCGAAACGTCATCTGTTTCGAATCTGAAAATAGGTCGACCTACTACCACCATACAAAAATACCAATACGAGAAAATCATTGATCCTATCCCCTCTTTTTCTAGAGAACCGATGAAAACGTGAATGAATGGTTAGAAATCGTTACACTGAAATTTGATATTTTATCGGTTATGATTCTCGTCAAAAACGTCGATTTGTTCCACAAACTTAGCAGGCAATGCTTTGAAATCGTATGTCGCAAGTGTGGGGTGTGGGCGGATATGGGTGTGTGTATCAAAGAACCTGCTGGTGGGAGCGTGAGTGAATGTGAATCTTCTATCTGCTCACACTCACACCCTTAAGGAGAAAATGCATGAAATATGGATCACCCGTTAAAGGTAGTGCAATGAAGGAAACATTTGCATCTATTTTTAACAAAATTTCACAAACCCAAAGTTTACTTGATCACTTGAAACTGATTTTATGCTCAGTTTATTTCTACTGAAGGAATCAATACGGTTCTTCCAACATCGTTAATTTTCTCAAGTACACGAAACTTTTGTAGTTATTCACGAATGAAACACTCCACGATGAGTCTAACATGGGTCTCCGATAAGACAATGTTCAAGTGACCGAAATCCGATAGTTGCTGATGCACTCGAAATCAAAACAGCACAAACAAAAGAAAAAAATACATTTCACATTTTCGAGTGCTGATTGCACTCATCGTATGGCTTTTAGTGTCTGCTTAGGTGAGATTTAAATTAAACGAAAGTAATATAATGATAAATACAAACATTTTTTTCATGCATCAAAAAGAAAAGTAGTAGAAATTTAAATGATTGATTGTAATTTGTTAAATTATGTTTGGGATAATATTATTTTCTGATTTTTCTTTTCACAAAAAGAAAAAAAACTAAAAATATAAAAATGAAAGTATGAATTGCTTATCCATTTAGCAAATAAATTCGTAATCATGATAAATTAATTTATTTAACAGAATTATTTCAAGATGAATAGAATCTTCTTGTTGTTATTCATTAAAATCATCCTCATATAATTATTGTTGGAAATGATTCTGTTCGATGTAAAACACTTTTTTTATGACGTTCAATAGTTATTTATGATACTTAATTAATAATTATTTGAAGAAATTCATAACTCTCACGTATTCATTTTCATAAAACTAAACAATTACATAGAAATGTATTCAATATATTGACGTTTGTTTCAATATCAAATCATCGAACAAAGTATGAGCAATATTTAACTTTAATCATCAGTTATTAATGTATGAGGATCTGTTCATACAAAAATCGATAAAAGCTTTTTAAAATGAATATCCATGCATGTTTTTTCATTAGAAACAGTTTAACATGAAATAACTCATGAAATTTCGTTAAAAAAAATTTAACGCGTTTTCACGATTAAAAATGTAACATCGTTATGGGTGATATTTGTCTTGGAAGACAATCTCAATATATAAATACTTATTCTATTCAGTTATATATTGAGAAGGAAAAAAAATCTTCTATGTTTATTTATAGATTTTAAGAGAAGAAATAAATGAAAAACTAGAAAAGGAAATTGAATAGAAGTTCGAATGATTAAAATATCAAGTAAAGAAAAAGTTAGATTTGTTGAATAGTTAAAGACTTTTTTGATTCAATAAGTTTAGCCAATTTGAAGGACAATTTTATAATGATTATCTAAAAGATAATATAAGTATAAGATACGTATATAAGTGAATAAAATTTAAAAAAAACTTACTGTAAGAATCAAAATAGCAATGCAAATAATAAATATAGAGAAGAAGATAACTATTGAAAGGTCACTGTTAAGACCGTTCCTTTCAACATGGTCGCGCGTGTTTATGGTAGATGAATCTGTCAGACGAAAAATGAGGACAATAACAATACCGATACCAGATAGAACCATTAAAATTACACCCAACCAACCAAACTAAAAGTAGAATATAAATATATTAGTTTTAATAGGAACATCTCATTGAATAACTGTTCAACTTATATGTTGTTGCAGTTTTTTTTTAAAGTATCGAATATCAATACGTATATATTACATCTCGAAACAGTTAAAACTATAAATAGTCGTTTTTTTTTATAGAGATTTTTTGTTTTTGTCATGATCCTATCATCATTGTGATAATGATTTTTTTTCTCGACTTTTTTGATGTTGAATAATAATAAAGACTAACTCACAAGAAAGCTCTAAGTTGAACACAATATCGCTTTGACTTGATACTATATTTACATACACATAGTATTAGGTCTTTAATAAACAAATATGCTTTTTAATATAAATGAAAAAATATGGAGTTTAATGAAGATGTCACACGGAATTAAATTGATAAATGATTTTATTACGAATCATATGTTATTTTTAATGATATATAGGTCATTGTTTAATGTAACATTTTTTAAAAATAGTTTTAATCATAGTTCCATCAATGTTAAACATTTCAACGTTTTAAATTAATTTTCCGTGATTATCGATCATTTAATAAAAATGACATCAAATTATCTCAACAAAATAAAACTATACTTGAAATTAACTCGAACAATCATTAGTTTTTTCTTTTTTATTCGATTAATAAATTGAAAATATTTAATTTCTCACAAAGATTGAAACAAATTCAACATGAATAGAGTCAATCAACATGATTTTGAAAGAAATTCAGATTTATCAAAAATAAATTATATCATTAAAAAAATATTTGATTCATTATCTATTAAGATAAAATCAATTAAAATTTTCTTCTAAAAATCTTTTAAAATTAAATTAAATTTCTTTTAAATTGGAGTATGTACAGTTGGTCAAAAAAGTATTCGACCACCCCACTTTCGTCTCATACAAAGACTTTATTTTAAAAAATCCTTTAAAAAGTCGGATTACTGTGAAACTAATGTGCGATAGAGAACTTTGTCTGCTCTATCCAGTGATGCTATTTGGATCACAAAAACAGTATGTTTCAAGATTGAAAGTGAATTTTTTCGAAAAAAGTCGGAGGCTGACAAATTCAGCGCTTCATTTTAATTTAAAAAACGCATATGTAGTTTTGTAGAGTATTTCACGGCGCGTCGAATGATATATAGCAAAACAGATTTTCATCAAATCTTTATGCATTTATAATCTATATATTTTTTAGAGGTAGATAACGAGTGAAAACTAGCCGGATGCCGTTGCTCATTTTTAATATGTGTGACGTTTCCTGCATTAGAGAGTACGCATTGCAAAATTCTGTGTTCACTGGAGGATTGTTGACCGTTGTCGGCATGAATACTATAAACCAGTCTGGGATCGAGAACCTTTTGTAGAACTATTTATAGCTTTTTCGATATGAGAAATGAACTTTCCTCAATGCTAATTAGCTGCACATCCAAGCAACGTATAGATTCTGAATGCATCAAGATTTGATGAAAATCTGTTTTGCTATATATCATTCGACGCGCCATGAGATACTCTACAAAACTACATATGCGTTTTTTAAATTAAAATGAAGCGCTGAATTTGTCAGCTTCCGAGTTTTTTCGAAAATTTCCTCACTTTTCGAAAAAATTCACTTTCAATCTTGAAACATACTGTTTTTTGTGATCCAAATAGCATCACTGGATAGAGCAGACAAAGTTCTCTATCGCACATTAGTTTCACAGTAATCCGACTTTTTAAAGGATTTTTTAAAATAAAGTCTTTGTATGAGACGAAAGTGGGGTGGTCGAATACTTTTCTGACCAACTGTATATATGTGATAGGAATAAAATAGATATTATAAATGAAAACTCACCACTTTTAAACCTGTTTCAGAATGTCGATAAGCAACGAATATTCCAAATCCGTAGAAAAGTACTGAAATAAGAGATTGACCAATTCGTACACCACCTTGAGTTCCTTGCGTACTATTAGAAATTCCATTTTCATATATGGCACTTATCGTACCTATTACAGATAAAGCCTAAACAAAATAATACAGAATTCTAATATGAATCAATAAGAAATTGTTCGAAATTTCTATAGATAAATATTCAATGAATATGAATAGGAAGTGGTTATATACACTCAAGTGTATATAGCCACTTCCTTACATAATATTAGTTGTTTAAATATTTCTTTTGCTTTTATTTATTTAAACAAGATGATGAAGATTATTTTATATATATATATACATTGTTATTCTTAACATTTTTTCCAAAATTCTGATTTTAAAAAGTGACTTATTATTAGAAAATTATTCAAGAACGCTTAAATTTGTTTGTTTAAATATTTAAAACATCTAACATTGATCTATGATAAAATTAAAAATCTCTATCTAATTATTTCATATTCATATAACTATACAAATCTATTTATTCCTGTTAATATAAAACATATAAGCAAATTATGATATATGTAGATATCGAACAGAGGAAAACAATAAGAACATTTTTATTATTATTATACAATCAGGATGAAAAGAAAAATTAAAAAACAAAAATCTTACAAGAAATACGCCAAGTATAATTAAAAGAATTTTTTGAGTTCATCTTATTTCAGGATCTTCATTTAATGAAAATGGTCTCGGAACAGGAGTGTAAGATGCATTGATCATACTGACTTCTCCACTTCCTTGTTTGTATTGCATTTCCATGATGCTGTGCAGTTAAATCTTATGATCAAATGCAAAAGACGTAGCTAACAAGAGTCAGAAGAAAACAAAAAATACGAATGAAAAAAAAGCAAGTAATATAATTTATTTTCTCCCTTTCAAGCAATGGCATTTTATACAGAAGAGAAACAGCAAAAAGAAAAAGAAACAGTCAAGACTGATCATGGTAACAAATTTTTATGACAAATAAATAGACAAACAACCGGAAAACAATAGGATTATAAACAGAAAAACAAGAGAAAAATGATAGGATTTAACCTTTAAAGAAGACAAAAAATAAACTTTTTCAAAGTCATCAAATAATATTTATATTTGACATAATAATAAAAAATGAATAACTCGAGAGTTTCAATCAGTTCGGGCAAAAATTCAAAAGAATTTTTTTTGTCTTAAATGTTTTCTTTTCTAGATAATAATTATTTATACTTCATTAAGGAGATATTTGCATTATTTCATCAATCTAAGGTTGTAAGGGTGGATATAGGTGTGATTCTTTCATTAACTCACACACATAAATAATAGTTCTAATAGACATTAATTATTAAGCGATCGTTTCATTTCCGAGATAATACTGATTATGTCAATAGTTTCAACTATATTTATTCTAAATAATAAGATTAAGATATTAATATTTTTCATGGAATGTGATCTCCATCTAACAAATAATTATTTTTATTCAATAAATTATCAATAGAGGAAAAAAAGTTTGACATTTAATATTAAGAGAAGAAATAAATGATAAACGAGAGCAAGGAGATAAAAAAAAACTGAATAAAAGTTAAAATGTTTAAATTATCGAGTAAAATAAAAATTAGATTTGTTGAGTAGTTAAAGAGTTTTTTTGTTTCGATAATTTTTGCGAATTTGAAGGTAAATTTTACAATGATTATCTAAAAAGTAAAATAAATATAATATGAATAGAAATCAATCAAATAGAATAGTTACTTCAAGAACAATATCAGGTATGTATAAAAAAGCACATACCAAAACACTTTTTGACATTTTAATTCCACTACTGATGTTTTGTTCATTAAAAGTATTTAAGCTTATGCCAGCCAAATATAAAATACTAAGGCAAAAGAAAGTTACAATTGCAATAGATAGAATAATCACTATAATTATGTTCAACCAAGCAAACTAAAAGTTAAATATGAATATATATATTTTAATGTAAACAATCTCACTGAAATACTAACAAATTCAACAACATGCTGTTTTAGTTACTGTTTATCACAGACATCTCGAAAGAGATAAAACTGTTCCAATTGATTTTCCTATAGATTTTCTTTAACATAGCTTTATTATCTTAAAGTTGATTAGTTCTATCAATATTTTCGAGATCAATGATGATGTCATGCAATAAAAAAGATTAAATTAAAGCCTTCCCTTCTAAAATGGATCTCAGCCCAGGAACATCCGAATTGTATAAAACTTTCAGGATATGTTGGGGCTGGTAAACCATAGCTATGATAACATTTTCAGTCCTGTATCATGATTTTTCGCGGAAATACTCACCAAACAAGGGTCAAAATTAGCTCTCTCGTAGTGCCTCCAAAAGCCCAACATAGTAAAAGATAAAATTGAATACTTCTTTTTGTTTGAAAGAGCATATTAGAATGCAGCCCTTTTTTTTAAATCTTACTTTTTAAGCGAAAAAAAGGAATGACAAATTCAATCACTCAAAAAACCACTAAAAAAAATGGCGGTGTTTTCTTATATGAAAATGAAAGGGCTTTTTTAAAAAAAGGGCCACAAGAGGGGCTAGCCCTAGACACAAGCTTTCGAACAAAAAAAAACACTTCACGTTATCTTTATAAGATGGAATTCTTCTGGCGCTACATTCGTGAACTTACGTTCTGAGAAAAGCAGAAAAAAGCTTATCTTGAGAAAGTTTTGGAAAAAAAGGATGCTAAATAAAAATTTTTCTCGCATATGAAAGAGTAGATGATGGACTATTTCTTCACGAATTTATCTGAACTTGAACGATTCTCGCGAAATGTGACATTTTTGAGCGGGGCGGCAGTGGCCTTAAATGATTTTTTATTATGTATTATTCTGAATGACACATAACTGATTGGTTCATTTTCATTTTTTGATAAGATTTTTGAATAATATTACTCAATCTGTCAATAATCAATATTGTCTTAATGTCACACATTTCAAATACGTCACATTGTTTTGTGATTTATCTTTAAAATGAATATTGATTTTTTATTGGAAAACATCCGATTACCTCAATAATAACATAAAGTTATATTTGAAATTTACCGAAAAGTCTTTCTTTTATATTTGACTGATAAACTCATAATACATTGAATAAATATGTTTTCCAAAAGAGATTTCTTCGATACGTTCATAAACAAAATCGCTCATATGAATAGGGAATATTACATTGTTTAAGCTCCCCTCCCCTTCAAAAAAGTCACTTTTCGTCAGAATCACGGAGATAGAGATAAATGCATATGGGTATAGCCTGTCATTTGCCCTTATATAAACGATAAAAATTTTTCTTCGGTATCTCCTTTTTTCCCAAAAATGTTAACGATTTTTGACAACCCCTACTCGAAAAACCAGCGGTTTTTGAAAAAATTCAAATTTTTTTTTCTTATTTTCTCAAAGTTGTAGTTGAACGACGCATCCCCACCAAAAGTCAATTATAATCCGACATAAAGTCAGATATCTTTTTTTGTTTGAAAGAGCATCAAAAACTGTAGTGCCTATGAGGGCCCTTTTTTTTGATAAAGCTTTCTTATTATTATATTGCAAAGCGATTTTATAATATAAGCATTATTTTTTTGAGGGATTTTTGAGTGATTGAATTTGTGAAGCCTTTTTTTCTTATTAAAGATAAGAATTTAAAAAAGGGCCCTGATAGGCACTGCATCCTGACATGCTCTTTCAAATGAAAAAACAATGAACCATATTGAATGGACACCCATAGAGATTTTTTTGGAACACGATGAGCTATTTTTCGACCCTTGTTTGGTTCGTATATACCTCAGACATCGGGATAGGGGTCTGAAAATTTTACTACAGACGTACTATCACACCCTCAACATATTCTCAAAGTTTCATATTATCTCGATGTTCCGGAGCTGATATCGATTTTTGAGGGGGGGGGGGGGGCTTAATTCATAAGACAATATTCGTAAGCATATAATTCTAAAAAGTTTTTTAAAGTCAAATGAAATGTCGGTTGTTTTTAGAGTTCGAATAAAATCAATTTGCTTGAAAGATATATGACGGTGTGGATGTTACGGAAAAGAAAAACAACACCCACACTCCCACACCCTCCATTTATATGAGTTTTTAAGGTTCTAATTAGCTACCTATTAAAAGTTTTATTTCTTATGAAGAAAAAAAAATGAACAATATTTGACGATATATCAAATCTAAAATATAATCAATTGTTGTTTGTTCTAATTATTGAAGATATTTTCCGGTTTTCCGTCAATCTTTTTGAAATCAATATATACATTCAAATTCGATGCATTCATTTGAATCCATGAATACATGTCCTTATTAATATTTTGAATACTTAAGATTGATAATTTTGCAAATTTTCTTAATATTAATAATAAAACATCCAGTTGTTTGATATGACAATGAAATTTTTCAACATTTGAAAATGTTTCAGAAAACAAATCTATTTCATCGAATTCAAGATGATCATTCAATACACCAGATGTGATATGTAATACGTGTATTTTTCTGTTTAAATATTTTCGTAATTCATGATCATCAAGAAACAATATTAAACTACGTTTATCAATTTCTAATGATGATATATATGGTAGTATTTTTAATATTTCTAATAATAATGATGATGATAACGTACAACTTGCGCTTGGAATTTCTAAATGTTTAATATTTGATAAATTGACCATTTTGTTTAGAAATTCTATTTGTGTGGGCTGTAGAAGCCACTCCTCTGGTTCATATCCATCATCAATATCAGGTTCTACAAATATTAACGATTTAATACTTTTAAAATAAAATGGTAAATTATCTTTAATTCCCACTGTCTCCAATGTTAACTTTGTAACATTATCAAATCCATTTAAATTATTGTATGTATGCCAAGTATCTATTAATCTATACTCATTCCATGCATACGGCATAGTATAGATTGATATTGACTGGTAGTAACATCTTTCATTATTAGTATACCAATGTTGTTTAGACCAGAAATCAGTTCGAAATTGTTGAAGTTTCTTATCGTGAACAAAATAAAGTTTATCGGAAAAACTAAAATAGAAATTGAAAACACGTAAGTGTAATAATGAAGATTCAATCAGATATTGCCAACGGTCAGCATCAATCATATCTATTTTATATGGAGCATTTATTGTAAAAATTGTCAAATTTGGTATACGCTTTAACAAATGCTCAAGAGTTTCAAATTCAGCCATAGAATAATCAATAATTAATCGTTTTAAATTAACAGCTTTTTTAGTAAAACACCTTGATTGAAAGATCGATAATATATCGTCGCGGAACTCTTCAATTTTTAAATACTTTAACATTGATGCATACTGGAATAATTCACATAATTTAGGCAAATAGCCAGAAGAAATTGTTAGTGATGTAATTGACATTTGTTTAAAAATAGATCTGTCACAACTTAATGATGGTATTGATAGAATACGTAATTTCGATTTTTTCAATGCAGGTAGGATTTCCGATGTTTTATCATCCCACCTGGTAGATCTGGTAAACGAAAAACAATATAATTTAGATAACAATGGTAATATAGGTAATAATTTTTGAAGATCATCATTTTTTAAATTCATTAATGATAATGATTGGAGATTAATAAATTCATTTAATGCAAATGCTGAAAGAAAGTTTTCAATTTGGCCACGTGTACCATCATTTGACAATTTTAATGAAATTACATTATATTTTATTTCTGCATTCGATAATATTATCTGACAAAATTGATTAAATTTAGATTTTTTCAATTGCTGAAAATCCAAATGTAATGAAATATTTCGAATAAGTTTATAAAAACGATAATTTAATCGATCAAATGAATAGAATATATCTAATGCGTTAAGATATCGAAAACATTTGATAAATATTTCATTTGGTAATAACTCAAATTTCATCTTCATTTTGTACGAAAAAAATTCGGTACTTCTTCAGAATATACACATCCCATCGATAAACAATGACAGAAAAGGAAAAAAAATTGATTGATGTGCACATTCTATCTATCATATACATTCATAATAAAGATGACGCTATAACATAGAATAAAAAAAAATTGATCATATATATATATGATCTCGCTATATGCTCTCTTTCTCTTGAGGGTGTGGGTGTGGAGTGTGGGTGTGGAGTGTGGGTGTGGGTGTGTGTAAGGGTGGGTGTGATGTGGGTGTGGGTGTGTGGGTGTGGCTTTGGGTTTTATATTCTTCAACACCCATAGTCACAGCCACACCCCACACCCACACCATACCAACACCCACGCCCCCACACCCACACCCACACCCACACCACACCCCACAGCCACCCTAAAAAAAGAATAAAAGAAGAATCAATTGCAATTGGTTTAATATATGATCAAGAACTTGCTCGTGCAAATTTTTCTCAAGCTGGTCTAGCAGTTAGTTTATCACCACAAGAAGCTAGTATGTTACATATCTCTGTGATATTTACTATTATTTTATTTTTTCAAATAGAATCATCACTTAATAAACTTCGTCGTAAAACAACACCTATATTACCTGATTCAAGTGATTTTGATATACCAGATTTATATTTGACAGACGTAAAATAATAGACAATGCACTATTAGAAAATTTCCCGGTACTCTCATTCATATTCAACATTTTCGATATTTTGCTTTTCGACATTTTCTTTTCGACATTTTTACATTTCGACATTTTGCACATTCGACATTTTTTTTTCGACATTTTTGGATTTTCGATGTTTTACCCTTTCGACATTTTGACTCTTCGATGTTTTTTCTTCGACGTTTTTTCTTCGATATTTTGCCCTTCGACGTTTTGACTTTCGGTCTTTTGACACTTTACCTTAAAGACTGCAACTTAAAATTTACAGGTACCATTGCCTTTGAAAATATATATGAGCTCCACAAAATCTATGATTCTAAGGAATATTCTAATGAGAATTTCGTTGCAATTGATATTTAAACTAGTGAACGGAACAGCAAAAAAGGTAGGTTTGAAATGATAAATGAGTGATTGATTGACTTGTTTCGTCAGAAGAGTAACCTGTGATCATAAGTTCAATTGTTGTGTTGAACTGAATCGAAGAGTCATTAGTCCTTTTTGTTGACTAGAAATATTAAAATGTTGCGTTGATTCCATGCCTTTATCGGAATCGAGCCATTTTTTCCTAAAAATAAACGTGAATCTAGAAACTCACCACACTGAATTTGTCGAAGAATCGAATCGGAACTGCTGAAGCATAACGTCGTGCTGATGCCTTAAGAAATAACTCGGTGATTTGCATCGTATTTTTATCTCTCTCATGTTCATCGTCTTCTCTATACATAGACACTCGAGACTTTGGAGATCTTCTCTGGTAACAACATTTCTTCAACTGTTAAACAACAATTGCAAGGACAGAACAATAGAATTAAATGGTTTATTTTTTTTAATTAAAGTGTTTTTCTTTTCTCGACATTGGACCTTGCCGATGTCATTTTTGTTGTTTTTTTTTCTTAGTTATTTGTTTTTTGATAAGATTTCTCATTTTATATGAGGTGATGTTTTGATGCAGTATTTAGTACAAGAAAGAAAAGAAGACAATTACCTAGAAGAAGAAATAAAACATTTAAAAAACTAACAACATGTCAGATTCTCCTGTCGATCAACATAAAACAAAAAGAAATTATTTTACACCAGCAATATCATCGAAATATGTTGGTACATTTTTCAATTCACCATTGCATAATGAATGGATGTCGTCATTGATATATGATTCGTTAGAACTTCAGCCAAATCATATATTAGTTGATATGGGTTGCGGTCCTGGTTTAGAATCAAAGATAATACTGAATAGAATGAAGAATCAAATATGCTTAATAGGCAAGTATCGTAAAGTGCTCGAGAAGCTTATTTCAAAAGCAATTGATTGACTGCGTCACATTACATTCAATATGACAGAGAAATAAATTGTAGTTTTTAGGAAGAAAAATAGCTGAAAATAGAAGATTTTCTACTTCTAATTTCCTCCTCCTATTCATAACAGGATACCCATACTGACGTTTGCAAACATTCTTTGTAAGATAGAACAAGTTTCAAGTTGGCTGACTAAAGTCATGTAGACTTTTCAGAATCGCAGAATACCTCTAAGGATGATTACTGGTTGAAAACAAATTATGCACTTTTGTTAAAAGGGAAAAAGTGGACTTCTGTATTTCAGAAGTATGATGAAATAAGGAGAAATATAGAAGTCCGCTTTTTTTCCCTTGACTTTTTGTTCATTTAGGAACATCATCACTTTTCTTCTTAGATGCCATATTTATCTTATGTGAAGCGATGACTATCCTGATGGAATGTCACTATTTATTTTACGATGTACTTTTATTGTCTCATGAGACACATTTTATTCCACTGTTCGTAATGTTAATATTCAGTTTCTGTCAAAAGCTGCCGCTAACCTGTATAGAAATCAGCTCCATATTCTTCATTAATGGATACAGCTTAGAAGTTTTTTTTTCATATTTATTGTTGCTTCTAGGAGTGGATCCGTCACAAGGTATGCTGGATGAATTTAGAAAAGGATCAGATTCAAATCCAAATATCGAAGCAGTATGCATGGATGCTGTTACATTTAGTCAGTCACCTCAGTATTCATCATATGATCGTATTTTCATGAAATTGATGATTCATTTGTTAACAGACGAAGAGCGATTGATTGCTTTTCAAGGCTTTTACAAACAACTTGCGCCCACTAAAGGTAAACTATTGATAATTCGCCGTTTACATACAGCTGAAATTAGTCCATTTGACGAACGTACAAAAAGTTTATTTGGAAATTTAAAAGTTGAAACATTGTTTGATGAATTAAAACATGTAGGTTTTAAGCAAATTCAGCAAGAAACATTTACGTTTGAATATCCTCCAAACAGTGTTAAAGCAGAAGATTGGATTTATCTAATAGAAAATCGATTATGGACAGAATTATCAGAAAAAAATATAAACGAACAACAAATGAAGGATTTAATTGATCATGTCAGAAGACAACATGAAACCCCAAACAATTTTCAAACCATAGACAAAGCGACAATAATAAAATGCTGTGTAGAATAAGTGATATTTCGTTTTTGACATACTTTAATGAGCGACAAAACATATTTTCCAGTTATTGTGCTTTTTTTATTATAGAATCGAAATAAACTAAGAACAATGATTCTGTGAAAGACAAATATGACATTGTTAGTGCTGCATGGTCAGCAGAGGATATTGTCGAATTCGTCGTATTGTCACTGTTAAGATCACGAGAGAGTTCGCACAAAGGATATTTGATAATATTGAAGAGTTCGTCAAATATTTTTTGAGAGAATAACATCTATATTTTGTGAAACATAAACAATTCTCTAAAATACGATTGTATGTACCCGAAGTATCATTAGGCGTATTACTAAAAGAGCTGAAAAACAACCCCAATTACGATTAATAACCATGTCTCATTAATTTTCAGGTGAGTTTTGTAGGTCACATGGCGTAATCGATATTACAGATACTGATCACTAAGACTGTCTCTTTTCAACTAGGTGGATATCAATGATCTACTAGGTTTTTTTTCATGTTCTTTTGCATGAATTATATTATGAATAATACGAAACGTCGTACCAACACTATTAACTAAATAGTGGGAGAATGTTTTTTTTTCATCTAGATGTGATGTATTAGGATGAATCATTTGTATGTGTTGTCACATGATATCGACGATAAAATTTTGGATTTTCATTGTTTTATCAAAATGATTGAGATTGTTTTTAACTTGTTTATAAACATGTCTAAACGTACTTTTTGATATATACAAATATATCTGAGACAATTGTTCCTGTTTCAAAAATATGAATATTATTCTGTTCAAAGATATTTGACGAATCCTTCGATATTATCAAATATTTTGCAAATCAGACGTTTCTTTATCCAAACTCGAAATATTCTAACAACATCTGCGATATGAGTAAGTTAGATTGATATGAGAACCATCAGATCTTGATAAGTCCCTGATAAAGACTACGGCAATATGAATATAAAAAAAGAAAACTGATGAAAACCTGACGTATTTTACATTGCAGAGTGTATACGATGTCGATCTGAGCTTTCCGATGGGTTGACAAAATTATAATTTTGTTATCCCTCGACCTATCGAAAAATGGCACTCTGAGGGATGAGTTTAAAATTTCGATGCCCTCACCGTACCCATCTCCGATGCGTTCTAAAGGATCAAATTATCAGAGTTTTGAGCGGTCGATATTCTGAGCACCCGATACCTATTGGATATTTTTGCAGAACTGAAGATTCGAACATGTGTACTTACGATTACGAAGCTTGCATAGATTAGATGAAACAAATATAACGTTTTCATTTTAAATAAATTTAATTGTCATCATGAAATATGTTTAACTTCTGTATCTTTTTTTTCTATTTTCTTTAAATATAATTTTAATTAGCTATTTTTAAAAACGACTCGCGATATATATATATATATGTTATAGTCAAAATTGAAATATTGATTTTGATGAACAGAAAAATGTAAAAACTTGTTAACAAAGGATATGCATTTGGGTCTGAAATAAAGGTACAACAAATCTAGAATAGATTTGAAATTTATTATCAATGACAGTGAAATTTGGTTTGTACTTGTTTTTGGATCTGAAGCGTAGAGACTTTTGGACCAAATTTACATAAACAATTTGTAATTTGGCGTCTGTTATCAAAACATAAACAATTGATATATTTTTGTCCTATACCCAGGTCCAAAAATCCGACGACGGATCCTATCGGATCCGAAAACCGACAAAAATCCGATCGGAATCCGGGTTACAGAATTCCGATCGGATCCGACAATCGGATACTCATACGTTTCCGATAATTTCCGATTGTCGAAATCCCCATTTATTCCGACGATCGGATACCGATCGGATTTCTATAGGATTATATCAATCTTTCAACCGAGGTCCAAAAAATCCGACAAAAATCCGATCGGAATCCGGCTTGCAGAATTTCGATCGGATCCGACAATCGCATACTCATACGCTTCCGATAACTTCCGATTGTTGAAATCCCCATTTATTCCGACGGTCGGATACCGATCGGATTTCTATAGGATTACATCAATCTTTGAATCTGTGATCGATTTTATTTATTATGATAATGTTTGGAATCTAAATTTTACCTTATGTGAGCCGGAAAGTTTCATGATTTATAGCCACTGAAACGTAGTGTGTTTAATATAGGTTTTGGATTAAGGTGCAGCAGAATAGTTATTTTTTCTAGTATATAATGCCTTGATCAAGGAACTTATAAAATGCGGCTACCCGCGAGAAAGCTTGTTGACCTGATAACAACAAACTGTCTGTTTTCAACATGAGCACACAGGTTTCTACGAAGTACGAACTAAAAGAAGTGCTGAAGTACAGAAGTAGTAAGTTCGATTCTATGTTTCTGCCCAATTAACCAAAATATACACTAAAACAACATGTCGTTATCCGTTGTGACAAAAATCGTTTCAAACGTAGAATCTTTTCAGTATATTCATAAATTCATAAAACAGAAAATTTTTAGTTTCGAAACTGTTTAAAAAGGTCTGAATATGATACTGAATTCAGTTAAATTATTTCATTTCTCGAAATGGCAACAAATGTATACTTAGATATCTCCATTCGAGCTTAGCACTGATATAAGTTACTATCCTATTGGATCACATCGGATTTTGAAAATTCAGTTCTGGAAATGAGCAAATATGCCTACCTTCATATCTCGCTTGGAGCTTATCATTAATATAAGTTTCTACCATTTGGATCCGATGGGGATTTTGAAAACTGAATTCTGGAAATGGCAAAAATGTACATCTAAGTATCTCCATTCGAGCTTAGCACTGCTATAAGCTTCTATCCTATAGAATCCGATCGGATTTTGAAAATTGAGTTTTCGAAATGCCGAAAAATCCAAACTTCCATATCACCATTGGACTTTATCTTTGATATAGGTTTCTACCCTATAGGATCCGATCGGACTTTGAAAATGCAGATCTGGAAATGGCCAAAAAGGCGTACCTATATATTTCAATTGGAGCTTAGCATTAATATAAGTTTCTACCCTATAGGATCCGATCAGATTTTGAAAATTAAGTTCTCGAAGTGATCAAAAAGCCATACCTACATATAACTATTAAAGCTAAGCATTCATATAAGTTTCTATCCTACAGGATCCTATCGGATTTTGAAAATTGAGTCCTGGAAGTGATGAAAAAGGCATATCCACATATCTCTATTGGAGCTTACCATTGATATAAGCTTCTATCCTATAGCATCCGATCAGATTTTGAAAATTAAGTCTGGAAGTGGTCAAAAGGCATACCTAATATAACTATTAAAGCTAAGCATTGATGTAAGTATGTATCCTATACGATCCGATCGGATTTTGAAAATTGAATCCTGGAAGTGATGAAAAAGGCATACCCATATATTTCCATTGGAGCTTACCATTCATATAAGCTTGCATCCTATAGTATCCGATCGGATTTTGAAAATTAAATCCGAAAGCGGTCAAAAGGCATACCTACATATAACTATTAAAGCTAAGCATTGATATAAGTATGTATCCTATAGGATCCGATCGGATTTTGAAAATTCAGTTCTGGAACTGGACAAAAAGGCGTACCTATATATTTCAATTGGAGCTTAGCATTAATGTAAGCTTCTATCCTATAGGATCCGATCGGATTTTGAAAATTCAGTTCTGGAACTAGCTAAAAAGGCATACCTATCTATCTGTATTCCAGCTTGCCATTCATATAAGTTTCTATCCTATAGGATCCACTCGGATTTTGAAAATTGAGTTTTCGAAATGCCGAAAAATCCAAACTGCCATATCACCATTGGACTTTATCATTGATATAGGTTTCTACCCTATAGGATCTCATCGGATTTTGAAAATGCCCAAAAAGGCGTACCTATATATTTCAATTGAAGCTTAGCATTAATGTAAGTTTCTATCCTATAGGATCCGATCGGACACTGAGAACTGGGTTCTGAAATGGCCCAAAAGCCATACCTACATACTTCTCTTCAAGGTTAGCATTCATATAAGTTTCTATCCTATAGGATCCGATCGGATTTTGAAAATTGAGTTTTCGAAATGCCGAAAAATCCAAACTTATATATCACCATTGGAATTTACCATTGACATAACTTTCTATCCTATAGGATCCTATCGAATTTTGAAAATTGAGTTCTGGAAATGGCTAAAAAGGCATACTTATATATCTCCATTAGAGCGTAGCATTAATATAAGTTTCTACCCTATAGGATCCGATCAGATTTTGAAAATTAAGTTCTCGAAGTGATCAAAAAGCCATACCTACATATAACTATTAAAGCTAAGCATCAATATAAGTATCTATCCTACAGGATCCGATTGGATTCTGAAAACTGAGTTCTGCAAGTGGCCGAAAAGGTATACCTACATATCTGTATTCAATCTTAGCATTGATCTAAGTTTGTATCCTATCGGATCCGATCGGATTTTGAAAATTGACTTCTGGAACTGGCCAAAAATGTATACCTACATATCTCGATTGGAACCAAGCATTGATATAACTATCTATCCTGTAGGATCCTATCGGATTTTGAAAATTGAGTCCTGGAAGTGATGAAAAAGGCATATCCACATATCTCTATTGGAGCTTACCATTGATATAAGCTTCTATCCTATAGGATCCGATAGGATTTTGAAAATTAAGTCTGGAAGTGGTCAAAAGGCATACCTAATATAACTATTAAAGCTAAGCATTGATGTAAGTATGTATCCTATAGGATCCGATCGGATTTTGAAAATTGAATCCTGGAAGTGATGAAAAAGGCATACCCATATATTTCCATTGGAGCTTACCATTCGTATAAGCTTGTGTCCTATAGGATCCGCTCGGATTTTGAAAATTAAATCTGGAAGTGGTCAAAAGGCATACCTACATATAACTATTAAAGCTAAGCATTCATATAAGTATGTATCTTATAGGATCCGATCGGATTTTGAAAATTCAGTTTTGGAAATGGCCAAAAAGGCGTACCTATATATTTCAATTGAAGCTTAGCATTAATGTAAGCTTCTATCCTATAGGATCCGACCGGATTCTGAAAATTGACTTCTGGAAAAGCCAAAAAGGCATACCTATATATCTGTATTTCAGCTTACCATTCATATTAGTTTCTATCCTGTAGGATCCGACCGGATTTTGAAAAGTGAATTCTGGAAATGGTCCAAAAGCCATACCTACATACTTCTCTTCAAGGTTAGCATTGATATAAGTTTCTATCCTATAGGATCCGATCGGATTCTGAAAATTGACTTCTGGAAAAGCCAAAAAGGCATACCTACATACTTCTATTCAAGGTTAGCATTGATATAAGTTTCTATCCTATAGGATCCGATCGGATTTTGAAAATTGAGTTCTAGAAATTGTCAAAAGTGTGTCTCTACATATCTCGCTTGGAGCTCATTGTTGATATAAATTTTTGTCCGATCAGAGCCAATGAGATTTTGAAAATTGAATTCTGGAAATAGTCAAAAATACATACCACTATGTCGCGATTGAAGGCCATCGTTGATATAAGTTTTTATCGTATCGGATCCGATGGGATTTTGAAAATTGAGTTCTGGAAATGGCGAATAATGCATGCTTCTATCTCACATTGTGGCTTAGCATTGATATAATTTTCTATCCTATCGGATCCGATGGGATTTTGAAAATTGAGTTCTGGAAATGGCGAATAATGCATGCTTCTATCTCACATTCTAGCTTAGCATTGACATAATTTTCTATCCTATCGGATCCGATGGGATTTTGAAAACTGTGTTCCGGAATTGAACAAATGGGCATACCTACATGTGTATTTTCTTGTTTAGCGTTGATATAATTGTCTTTCGTGTCGAATGTGATAGATTTTTGAAACTGATTCCTGGAAAGGGCTAGAGATGTGTGCGTATAGAGCTCTGTTCGATAATATTATGGTTAGAATGTTGTATCGTGTAAGATTGTATTGAATGTGTGGAATATGGGTGTGGAACTCTTTGTTGAGGAAGGGATGTATGCAATTTAGTGTCTGTTTTTGCTTTCATCGATTGGTAGGCTAGTTTGAGTATGTTTTTGAAAGGCGATGTTTAGTGTAAAACGCATGTAGTTTTTTAATTCATGAGAATGTGTCGTTAGGGGCGAATGTTTAGCTTTTTTTGGCTGGCTTTAGCAGAGATGCTATTATGGATGTCTGGTAATTTTATGAGGATAGATTGGTGCATAGTATTGTTTGAGTTAGGCTTCGGAGGCGGTTCGTAATGGTTTTGTGTATGTGTATATTAGTATTTCGAATTTGTGTGCATTATTTATTGTGCGTTGAGATGTTTTTTTGGTTTTAAATATGGCATTTGATGGATTATGAACAGTTGGAGCGATTCGGCTTGCGTTAGTAACGTTAGTGTTGGCTGCCGAAAGTGGTTTCCGATCGGATTCGGCCGAATTTGGTAGGAATCCGATAGGATCCGAGACGGAACCTATCGGATCCTATTATCAGATTGGTCGACCTGGGTAGTAGAGACTTTCATTGAATGAACCCAGTCGTAAATTTACCAAACCAAGACTAGTAAAAGTTGCAGCACGATCATCAGCATCAACATCTGGACTATTTAATCGAATTTTTAGGGCTTTATTCAAATACTCTTTAGCTTGTTCATATTGCGCTGTTCTTAAAAACAAATTTCCAAGATTATGAAATACTACTCCTAAGCGGAGATGATCGTTACCGAAGATTTCATTGATCATAACAAGAACTTTTTGATACGTATCCAACGCTTTTTCATCTTCATCTTTCATCATATATAGTAGTCCTATATTACACAATGTTGTTGCTGTAATAGAATGGGTTGATGGTAATGATTTTTGTTCTATTTCAAGGGCCAGATCATAAGGCTTCATCATAGTCATTTTGTAGCTGTTTAGTGTAAGCGAGATTATTGTGTATGACAGAATGAAGTGGATGAAGTTTAGGCAGTGCATTTGATTGTGTTATAATATTTAATGCTAGTTCATAGTTTTCACATGCACGATCAAAATTCAGTATTTTTCGATATACCAATCCTAAATTAGAATATGTATGAATAATTATATTCGATGCAAATGAATAATCCAATGCTATTTGCAGAACCTTAGAAAGTAATTCTAATGCAATAGTATAATTATTTTTTTCGATCTGCAGTAATGCCATACTTTCATAGAAACGTACAAGAATACGATGATTGCATGGTGACGTTGCCAATGCTATTTGTTGAACATCCATAAAGCACTTCTCTGCTTTAATAAAATCACCATTGATATGTAATTCAGCGTCCCTAACGTCACATAAATATCTACACGATCGTCATCTGTAATCGATGGTTGTTCTAGTAATATCTTACTATAACGTACGACTCGCTGGTAATCATTCATCTGTAAAAAAATATGAATCAAATCTTTAAACGTAGGTTTCAAATCCACAGATTCTCTTAGAAACTGTGATAATCTACCCACATCTTTATCATTATATGTAACTAATGATAAATTAATAATCCAAATAGTTGGAGTTAAATCGTATATTGAGTTAATTCGAAAAATACATCCGATTGTAAAAAGAACTTCATGTTCATTTCTGAAAAAACTTACTGGACATATATCAGTAAATGGTTCTGTTGAATACGATTGTTCTATTTCGATTTCAAATAAAACTGATTCAAATAATGGTCTACTTTCACCATTACCACTATAGATTAAAGCAACATTAGATTGAGTTGTTGTTGATAAAAATGTGTTCATTGAAACGAACCCATTTATATTTTGTTTTAGTTTTTCAAAATCCTTGCTGAATAAACGTTGTCCACGATAGACATAAAATATTTACGAATCTTCAGATGAAAATATTCTATCAACATATGCCGGATGCATTCTTTTGAGTTGTTGATGCAGATCAGTAATAAATGAACGAAATTTGTAGATAACATCGAAATTTTCAGTTCGCAAAGCTCTGTTTATTAGTCGATAAAGAAATGAATCTTTTGTATACCACCAAATCGCTTTATCAGCAGTATAATTCGCTTCAAAATCAGCAATTTTTGATAATTCTTCATTATTACCAATGTATTGTTGTCGGGACATATCTAATAAATCTTTCTTAGCACTATCGTCATGCTGCATATTACATAAGATATAAATTAAAAAATGTGACCAAATAAATAATCCCCCTTCATTAAGTTCTTTAATGATGTTTTGCATTGCTTTTATTCCTAATGCTCTCATTGGCAATATTTCTAATAAACATACGCGTGCATTTTCTGTCAGTATTCTTAACAATTCATCCTTATTGTCATATATACCACGAATTTTATCATAATTTTTTGTCCATTCTTCATGACGACTTGCTTCAAAACAAAATACATAAATAGAATTAATTTTCGATAAATGATGAATTTTACTGATCAATGATTCACCGTTAGTTCCAGATACAATGAGAAAAATTTTTCTTGCTCTACTGGTAATAGATAATTTTCACATTCAGTGGAATCATCAAAAACTACAAGATAATTAATTATATGGCGTAAGCGTGATTGAAATTGAATACAATCATCCGATTGATTAACGGTCTTATCAAACCAAACAATTGTAAGATCTTCAAGATTTTCATGTTCTTTAGGATCTAGTTGTTCCGAGAAGTATGATTCGCGTACGAATGACATATTGATATGATTAAATCCAAAGCTAAAAGGCATCATAATGATGAATAATATGCTCTTGACTTAGAAGAAACAAACCTTATTGTGCAAGACAGATTCTCGTATATAGAAAAAAATCGGTCCTCTTTTTTTAAAAATCGCTTCTCCTGTAGACAACGAAAGCTAGTCGATACATTCATAAATTTTATACTTAGCTGAACTAAATAACTATTTAAACAACTTACTAACATTGTGAATCAATACAATTCGTTGGTTGTCAACATTTATTTATAAACGTGTCTTCTTGTTTCTATAGAGAAACATAACATATATCAGCATCAATAATACTCAAACAAACGTCTTCGACGATGCGAAAGGAAGGACAAAAAAAATTTTTCTTTTCATGATCAAAACTTATACTTTGAGCTGCTTCTTCTTTTTCCTGCATCATGCTTTCCACGTGCATAACCATTAATGCATCACAAATGAATAAACATACAAAAACTCACATAGATTGAATAGGAGAGTGTGCAGGGTGTGAGTGTGGGTGTGCACTGACGTAGCCAGGATTTTTAGACCAATGAGCAAATGTCGCTTGCGTCAGAAAAAAATGATGAGAAAAATGAGCAAAGTTTTTATTGATGGGCAAAACACGTTCTCCAGTCCACGTTTAGTATGTTCACGAAGAATTTCATCGTCGGAATCGATACGTTGTTTTAACAATGCAATAAAGCTTTAAGTCTGCGATCGACGGGAAAATATAGATTAATACAAATTAACAATTTCCGGTAAACTTCATCTTTGCATACAAATAAAAGACACTTATATGAGATGTTAGGTGAAAATAGAATATTCAAATGGATGAGATAATACAATTGAAAAAGTATTTTAATTATTACATCAGAAAAAAGATATAATGTGGCAAATATATTGCAAAATATCTGATACAACGAATAATCTCTCGCTTGTAGTATCTCATTACATATAGACTATAATAGACTGAAATCACTTCCGATTGACATTACTCATTTTACGTACTAATAAATAACAAGAGTGACATAATGCTGGTATTGAACGAGATGTTTCTCTAAGAAAAATTCTCAATCAAGTGAAATATATTTTATAAACTCTTTGTTCATTTTCAAGATCTTAGGACGAATTTTGAGCAAATTATAATCTTTTAAGTCTCATGTTTAGTTTCTCACAGTATAATTAACTCGATGGGCTTTAGATAAACTGAAATAGATCTTGAATATGTTTTGTGTCTTATGCTCAAGGGGGAAACAGCTGATTATTTGATTAGATATGATTTTAAGTGATTAGCAGTGATTATTATTGATTAGGAGTGATTAGTAATGATTAGGAGTGATTAGGAGTGATTAGGAACGATTAGGAGTGATTAGGAGTGATTAGAGTTGATTAGAAAAATGAATAAAAATCATATATTATTTAATGTCCCTATGCTTCTTTACTTGCGTTGTATACGGAAAACGAAACTGTTTTAAGCCATTTAATAGACTATGTTGCCATTAGATTTCGTTACCTATCTTAAAGTACCCGAAGCTTTTGCCTTAACTCTTTTGTATTGTTTTTCAATTTAAGGATTTTAAGAAGAAGTAACACGAACTATCAACAAGTACATATATTTCTAATTTCAAGAAAAAGTTTACGCAAAGAAAAGGAAACAATTCATCATTTTTTTGATGTTTGAATAACTCGTGATAATCTATTAGTAGATAAGCTATTATTGTCTCTTGTAAGAAGATAACAAGCCGTGGACTTATGTAAGAACTTATTCATATCATTGATTTGAATCTTGAAATATGATTTATCTTGATCAGCTGGTACACTGTCTTTGATATTTAATCCATCAAAACTTGTTTTAAATGTTTTCAATTGTTCGTCATCCATATTGTCACCATCGTCATCTTCTGCTTCGCTACTACTTGATTCGTTGTATCTCAAAAATTCATGAGAAAATGAGTGATACGATGTATGATCATCGAATTCGAACTAATCTTTCGTAATTTCCTCAGCATTTTGCTACATTTGATGACGAGAATAATTTTACGAAAACATGCATAGAAAAAAAAAACTTTATCTAATGTCATAATTAATATGTAACTTACACTGAACT